ACAGATGAGGAAACCAAGTCTTAAGGGAGGTTTAGATGCCCTGTCCACAATCGCATGCTTCTTAACTAGAAGCACAGGGTCTGAAGCGACTTTATCTGATACCAAAGTTTAGACTCTGAAATCCAACAATAAAATGGTATTAAAAACCTTCTACATTACTTCATACCTACTAGGATGGCTATTATCAAAAGAGAGATAACAACAGGTACTGCCAAGGATGTGGAAAAATTGGAACCCTCCTCATACACAGCTGGTGGGAATGTAAAATGGTACGGTAGCTTTGGAAAATAGTCCAGTAGTATTACCATATGGCCCAGCACTTCCACTCCTAGGTATATAGCCAAGATAAATGAAAACCAACGTCCACACAAAAACATGTACATGAATGTTCATAGCAGCATTATCCAGAATAGCCAAAAAGTAGAAATAACTCAAATGTCCATCACCTGATAAATGGATAAATAAAATGCAGTGTATCTGTATAATAGAATACTACCCAGTAACAAAAAGAAGAAATGAAGCACCGATACATGCTATGACATGGATGAGCCTTGAAAATATCATGCTAAGTGAAAGAAGCCAGAACACATATTGTATGATTCCATTTTTATAAAATGACCAGAATCAGCGAACAGAGAGACAGAAAGTAGATTCTGGTTGCCTATGGTTGAGGGAGTTGAAAGGAAATGGGGTGATGAAAATGTTTTAAAATTGACTGTGGTGATAGTTGCACAACAGCAAATATACTGACAACCCCTGAACTATATGCTTTAAATGAATGAACTGTATCCCATGTGAATTATATCTCATAAAACTGGGGTGTTTTTTTTTAAGATTTTTACAACTTAAACCCTTCACCTAATTTTTACTAGTCTTCATTTCATAATGGAAAAAATGCTTTGTTTAAATTTAAAATCAGGAATCCAAGCACTTTCATGCTCGTATCCAAAAAAATGTTAACTTTTTAGAAACTTTCAAATAAATTAAACTCTTTTAACTGATAGCTTCGCAGAATTACACGGTTCTTTACCGAAATTTCAAAATACCTTATAATGTGCTGGGGAATGTGCTGGTTGGTGTGTTAGCTCCATTTTCTTTCTTTCCATTCTAGCTGCGCAGTTCTACAGAGTCATTACTGTATACTGTGGTCAGGAAATACAAATGAAGTAATGTCTTTGCTGGGAACAGCTTCAACTCTATAGAGCTCAAATAGATTAAAAAATCAGACATGCATGAAACACTAACCTGACAAATGGCCATCACAAATCTGCACAGATCAAATTTTCAATATGCTAAAGATCTATAACCTGAAGAATTATTTGAAGTTTGGAGAGGCTTCTTTTTACATGTGTGCCATAAGGTCTTGTATTTCAAAGTGTGGTCCATGGACCAGCAGCATCAGCATCTTCTGGGAGTTTGTTAGAAATGCATATTCTGCCAGGTGCGTTGGCTCAAGCTTATAATCCCAGCACTTTGGGAGGCTGAGGTGGGTGTATTACTTGAGCTTGGGAGTTTGAGACCAGGATGGGGAATATGGCGAAACTCCATCTCTACAACAAAATACAAAAATTAGCCAGGCATGGTGGCATTTGCCTGTAGTCCCAGCTACTTGGGAGGCTGAGGCAGGAAAATCACTTGAGCCCTGGAGGCAAAGGTTGCAGTAGCTGAGATGCACCACTGCACTCCAGCCTGGGTGACAAAGTAAGACTTTGTCTCAAAAAGAAAACAGAAAATAAAAAGAAATGCACATTCTAAGGCCCCACCCACCCTAGACCTACTCAACCATAATCATCATTTTAACAAGATCCCTAGGGGATGAATCTGCACATTAAAATTTGAGGAGCACTGTCCTAAGACATTCTCTTTGTTTTTCTCTTCATTAAGACAGCTCTGACTTGCACTAGACTAATATTTTAAAAGCCTGACATACATACAGTTCTGGTCCTGGGCCAGCTTGTCCTCAGATCCATTCTTTGTCCTTCTGCTCCACTCCAAGTTGTGGAGGAGGTGACCCCAGCCAGGACAGGGTTCCCAGGCAGAAGGGGAACAGTACATCTGTAGCAGCAGCTGTGTCCTTGCAAGCCTCCAGCCACTGCCAGGTGGACCCCTTGTGACCCCAGTTTTTGGTGGGTGACAGCTGTCCCTGAAGTCTGAAATGCCATCTCCTTCCTTCACCCTCCAGCTTAGGGGTGGCAGCGGTTTCCTGCTTGTTGCCTCATCTCCGGCTTGCCTCACTGCAGCCTGCATTCTCAGTACTCCCACCACCTGTGTGACCACTCCCCTACGTTACATTCCTTCTGTTCTAAATACTTAAGGTGAGTTCTGTTTTTCTTTTTAGACTCAGACTGCTACCCCATACCATTTTTGATATTTCTATTATGTACCATAGATACCAGAAGAATTTTGTGAATGGCTTATCTGCTGGGAAAAAAAAAAAAAAAAATAGAGCTATTACATACAGTCAACCTCGCATTCCCACATTCTGACAATCTCTTAACAACTCAGAAGAAAAATCAGCCTTAAGCTATCTGTAGAGCAGATGTGACTGTATTCAGAAACTCTAAGTCCTCGGGGTGTATTTTTAACAGTCTACCCATCACTCCTCCTCAACCAGAACAGCTGGTATAGCAGCTATTGTTTTAGGAGAAAAAAGAAGGAAAGCAAAAACACCTCTTAACCAACAAAATTCTGAACACTGGAATCTCTCAGGAATCAAATCTCTCTCAACACAATCTTGTTCTTAATCAACCTTTTAAATCACATGATCTACCCCACACTGGTCAGCACCTTGCCTGGGCAACAGGAGAAAGCAAGTCCTATCGGTACCATTTAGGGCTATGTGGAGATCTTCCCAAAAGCACATCTGGTCCATCACCCCCATGCTTTGAACAACCCTCTGTGGCCACCTCTTGCCCACGGCCAAAAAGCAAACCCTTCAAAGGACCAGCCCCTCGAAATTCAGCCTTAACTAACCCTTCCAACCTCTAAGTCTAATCAACGTGATCCACCTCTGGCCCAACTTCTGATCATTTCACAGTTGTCCCTAAAGCTCTAGACACAGCGTTCAAATATGTAGAAAGCCATTTCTTACCCACTTAACCTGGCGAATTCCTTATCCCTCAAGATCTCACCTTAAAGAAAACCTCTCCTGCCTCCCCAGGGCAGTCTCTGCCCCGAGTTTCCACAGCACTTAAAATGTTGTCATGTCAGGTGCCCAGGTGTCCATCTCCCCACTAGACTGAGAACCCCTAGGTGTAGAAACTACCTTCCATCTTAAGGTCTTGACCATGGTTCCAATCCAGATCCACATTTACGACCTGTGACACCCTGGACAAATCATTTAACCTTGACTCTACTTCTATTCCAATTCCAAAAGGCGGAGATGATAGCATCCAACTCATTGGGTTCTCACCAGTACTAATAAACTAACCAAGTCAAGTGCTGTAAAGCTAACCCAAGAAATTGCCTGGCACATAGACGGTATTAAAGAATTGTTATTTGCTATTGCTATCATTATTATTACTACTGTTACTGTTACACCCGGAACAAAGCAGGTGTTCCGTACCTATCTGCTGAATAACTGGAGCACTTCACAACAAACCTGTTTGTAACATGTTAGGAGTTCAGGTTCCCCCATCGCAGGTATCAAAGGCTGACAGAAGAGAAGGCTCCCACGGTGAAGGGACCGGCTGAATCTAACCCGCCCCTGAGGAAAAGCGCACTGCAGCAGGAGGAGAATGTCCGTGCCAACCGGATCTGCCAGCGCTGCCCCACGGACTCAGCCTCCTCACGGCCACCTGTCCAGCCACCTGCCTGAGGAAGCAGTGTTCTAACCGGGCAGGCTCACCCGGAGCAAAAACCGTAAGCAGTTTTCAATAGGAAGCACAACGGGAAAACAAACGGTGCAACTTTCCTCCTGCAAAAAGGACGTGTGTCTTTATCTAATATTTAGCGTTCGGAGTTCTCAGTGGAGAGTTTGGTGCCAAGCGGGTGCGCGGTCCCGGCTTTGCTGAGAGAGACGGTAACTGAACGCGCATCCCTTCCTTCCCTCTTGTGATGAAGGGGTGAAGGGGTGATCCCTCGCACCCGGGTCCGAGCGGACTTCTGAGGGCACCACAGGGAAGTCTGCAGGGCACTCGCAGGACACCACCCGACCGCTCCTGAGAAACGTGCAGAACTGGGGTTTGGGGACCGCGCACGCCTGCGGGGCGCAGCCGGGAGCCCCCGCGTGGGACCCGCTCGGTGGCACGAGCGCAGTCCCCTGCATCTAGGCCTCAGTTTCCTCCGAGTCCTTGCGGCCCAACTCGTCGCGCGCCCCCCGCCCAGCACGCGGCCCCCGGGAGCGCCCACCTGCGCGCCCCCCGCCCGGCCCCGCCGCCGCCCGCCGTCCGTCGGGGGCCGCGCGCTCCGCCCGGGGCGCCGGCCCGTTACAGCGGCGGGTCACGCTAGACCGAGGCGGGGACGCCCGCGGGACCCCAGGCCGGGCTGGGCCGGGCCTGGGCGGCCGCTCGGGCAGGGCCACGGGCCTCGGCTGGGGCTGCCGCGGCGTGAACGCCCGAAGCCGCCGCGCCGCCAGCTCACCTTCTGTCGGATCTGGCCCGACGTGGACACCTTGCGGATGAGCTTCTGTAGAGCCGGAGCTCCGCCTCAGGCTCGCTGTCGGACGACTCCTCAGGCGGCGGCGGAGGCGATTGCGGCGGACCCGGCGGAGGAGGCGCCCGCCGCCGCCGCCATGCTGCCGGGCCAGCGCGCGCCGCGGGCGCGGGGCGGGGCAGGAGGCCGGCAGGAGGGGGGCCGAGGCGGGGCGCGGGCCGGGGCGGTAGAGGCTCACGCCCTCTCCCCTCCGCGCCCCCTGCCGGCTGCTGGCGGGGCCGAGGGCGGGCCGGGCCGGGGGCGGTGGGGGCGGCCTCCCGCCTCTCCCCGCCGCGCCCCCTGCCGGCCTTGTGCGCAGCTGCAGACGGCGCGGCGCGGCCCCTCCCCGCCCCCACCTGAAGGGTCCCGGGGCCCCCCGCCCACCTCTCCCGGCCGTGGCTTCTGTGTGTTCTTTCTGGGACGCCGTTTGTGTTCTTGTTTCTATGTTCACTTCTTAAAACATCTCCACTCTTCCGCATCAGAATGTAGGTAACCTCCCGCAGGCCAGGGCCGCGTCTGTCCTGCCCAGCCTTGTGTGGCCGAGTTTGGGGCGAGCTCGAATGCGCGCGCGCATGCTGGAAAGAGACCCCGGTACTGGGACGGGCCTCGGGACACAACTGGGATGCACCGCTCCATCTGGGAAGGCTTCCTGGAGAAAACGGTTCTTAAGGAGAGATGGAAAATGTGAGCAGGAGTTGTGACTAGAGAGGGAATCGTGTTCTAGGCAGAGACCAGATTTGTGCAAAGGCCTGGAGGTAAGAAAGAACTTGTGTTGGGCGAAGACGAGGGAAGAAAGGGAAGCTGGTGCTTAGAGCAAGGAAAACGGCATTAAGATTTGAGCCTCGGGGCGGGCAGGTCGAAGCCGGCTTTGGAAACCAGATAAGGGGTTGGAAGGCAGCAGGAAGCCCTTGAGGGATTTAACCCTGGGCGGGGCTGGGTCACCACGCTGGGGCCTGTGATCCGGGCTTTGAAGTTATCAGGGCAGGTAGACACCCTGGATTACCGAACGGCTGAGAGATAGAGACGTGGACTGAGATCCAGGTAGGAGTGACCAGCGACTGGAGGGAGACAGAGGTGACGGGGACGAGCCCCATGTTGCCCAGGGAGGCTGCTGGATAGTGGGCGGGTTGGGGTCCAGCCCTGCTCTGGGCAGAAGAGGGGAAGCGCAGCTGGAGATAAGATCAGCCGAGTTTTTGGTGCCACCCAGAGGAAATGCTGTCCATCTGTCTGCCCTGCTCTGAGGGGCAAATCAGTAAGGGGCTGCCCAGGTGTGCCCTTGCCCCGTCAAAGGGCTGCTGCTAGAGACCCCGCCTGCCTATCGGCATTCGCTGGCCCCACCGCCCTGGGCAGTGACTGGGGGCTGCAGAGTGGCATCTGGCATGGGGACACGGCCAGGGGCATGGGCTCACAGCCAGGACAGAGGAGGACAAGGCCTAAAGCAGGAACAGTCTGGGACAGGCCAAAGGCCCCAGGGTGCACCAGGGTACTAGCCACTAGCCACATGTGGCTACTTAAATTTCAGTTAAAATTAAGCATTCTGTTCCTCAGTCACATGAGCCACATTTCAAGGACTCAGTAAGCTGCATGTGGCTTAGCAGCTGCCACTTTGGATAGCACAAATACAGAACACTTCCTCCGTCCCCCCAGAAAGTTCTGCAGCACAGTCGCATGCTGAACTGTGCCCTCCCATCATCCCTATGTTGAAGTCCTAACCCCCAGTACCTCAGCATGTGACTGCATTTGGAGTTAAGGTTTTTAAAAAGGTAGTGAAATTAAAATTAGGTCACAGGGGTGGTCCCTAATCTGGTATGACTGGCGTCCTCATAAGAAGAGGAGATGAGAACACAGACACACACAGAGGGCAGCCCATGTGAAGACACAGGGAGAAGATGGCATCTACAGGCCAAGGAGAGAGGCCTCCAATGGTGGCATCTACAAGCCAAGGAGAGAGGCCTCCGATGGAACTCCCCCTGCTGACACCGTGATCTTGGACTTCCAGCCACCAGAACTGAGAATTTCAATTCCTGTGGTGGAAGCCGCCCAGCCTGTGGTGCAGTGCTCTGGCAGCCCTAGAGAACTCATGCAGGCACAAAGGGCTCCAGCCTCCCCAGAGAGTTGGAACTTTTCTATCAATTAACTACATGTGGAGTGATACACAGAAGCAAAACCCTGGGGGTGAGCAAGGCGACAGAGGGGCAGGGACACACAGGGGAAGAAAGAATTCATTCCTTCATTCCGCGGGGGAACCGGGTGACCTGAGCAGGGTTTAGAATTGGAATGGAGAGGCCGGATATGAAGGGAATTTCCCAGGACAACACAAAAAGGGGGAGACTACCCCCTACCAGGTGAGCAGAGCGGGTGACGAGGGATTTAGGTGAAGCTGGTAGCAAGGTGGGTGCAGGAGGCAGGGAGGTAAATAGCCGCGCCAGGATGCGGAGTAGCCTCCCGGCCCTGCTATGAGGCAAGGACTTCAGTCCCGTGGACACTGGAACTGGCAAGGGGGTTTTGGAAAGCAGAGGAACTCATGTATCTGGGCAGAGAATGATCCAGGGGACAGAAGACTAGAAACAGGGAGGCCATTAAAATGCTGTTGCCTACAAGTGTTAGGAGCCCGGGGGACATCTGGGCCCCAGAACCCCGCATTTTAGAGGCAAGGGCATGAACATGGTGGTTAAGAAGCAGAAACCGTGGCTGGAGAGGAAATCTGCAATTACCAGAAAATACTGAGATTGTCACAGCCAAGAGGAGCCAAGGAGACATGATGACTAAACGTCACGTGGGATCCTAGATGGGATCCCAGAACAGAAAAAGGACATTAGGTAAAAGCTGAGGAAATTGGAATTAAGTACGGGGCTTTAGTTTAATAATAACGTGTCAATATTGATTCCCGGGTAGGAGGAGGGTAAGGATTGAAGAACTACCTCTCGGGGATTATTGCTCTGATTACTTGGGTGACAAAAGGATCTGTACACCAAACCCTCATGGCATGCAATTTACCCATGTAACAAACCTGCACATGTACCCCCTGGATCTAAAATAACAGTTGGAAAGAAATACATGTATTACTGGAAACAAAATTTGAGTCATTCAGTGTGGCAAATGTACCCTACTCATGTAAGGGTTAATAATAGGGGCTTTGAGGTGTGGGGGACCTCACCATAACATCTTTGCAACTTTTCTGTAAATCTAAAACTATTCAAAATAAAAAGTGTATTTTAAAAAGAGAGGATTAGGCTTGGTAAAAATTATGTTCTTAAAGCAAAGAAAACTCTGGCATGAATGTTCTTTGATGATGAAGCAGCTTTTTTGTTCTCCCCGTGAGCGCACAGTGTGGTTCCCCTGGAGATCTCAGGAAGGGCTGAGACATCAACTCCCCCAAAGCGGTGGCCTGGAAGAGCACATTCCCTCCGGTGCTTCTTTATTGAATGAGTCACACTATGAATCATCTCTAACGAGAGCCTGCTCCCTGAGTCTACCCCACCTTGAGGGCATATCAAGGTGGCAGTAATAACACACTTCACGTCTAAGCTAATCCTTCTTTGTGGCAGGTCAGTGAAGAGGCGCAACTCTTGGCAGAAAGAACCACTTCACATTGGAGAATATAAACGGGAAACTTGAAAACATGGGAATCATCCAATTTTTACCCTCAACTAGGGTCATGATTGACATTTGGAGCCGCACGTTTCTCCATTGCATGTGACATAGAGCTTCTGGTCCCCAAGCCTGTGAAAACCAAAAACCACCACACACATTTCCAAATGTCCCCAACTCCCACCCCGCACTTGCCCTACTCCTCAAAGATCAGTAAATGCGACTCAGTCCTGTGAAAGTAAGGTGGAAGGAAGAAACGTTTTTTAAATGTTAAATAGAAAACAGACACCCTAAAAAGAAAGTACACAGGTGACAAAATTGCAGAGAACTAAATACACATACAAGTACAAGTCCAGTTGTGGAGATCTGAGATGAGCAGACTGGACCCATGTCGATACCCCGGTGTGATACTGTACTATAGCTTTACACGATGCTGCCAATGGAGGAAATCAGGTAAAGCGTTCCTGGGGTCTCTGTATTACTCCTCACAACTGCATGTAAATACACAATTCTCTCAATGAAAATTTCTTTTTCTTTCTTTCTTTCTTTTCTTTTTTTTTTTTTTTGAGACGGAGTCTCGCTGCGTTGCCCAGGCTGGAATGCAATGGCACAGTCTGGGCTTGCTGCAGCCTCCATCTCTTGAATTCAAACAATTCTCCTGCCTCAGCCTCCTGAGTAGCTAGGATTACAGGCACCTGCCACCATGCCTGGCTACTTTTTTTGTATGTTTAGTAGAGACGGGTTTCTCCATGTTGGCCAGGCTGGCCTTGAATTCCTGACCTTGTGATCCACCCGCCTCGGCATCCCAAAGTCCTGGGATTACAGTCATGAGCCACCGCGCCCGGCCTGAAAATTTCGATGGAAAAAAATAGCAAGGGCCAAGGGCAGTTGTTGAATCCTAAATGCTAATCTCCCTCCCCCGACTCCACCAAACTCTCCTACTTCCATTCAGCACCATACAGTGGGCAAAGGTCTAGTTACAGACTGAGGGACACCAGCATTCAAGCCTTGACTCTCACTAGCTGTGTGACCTTGTGTAGTAAGGTACATAACCTCTCTGAACCACAATTTCCTCATCTGAGGAATGGGAATGATGCTACTGATTTATAACTACTACTGGAATGGTTAGATGTCAGATGTGAAGTACAGTGGCAGGGATCCCCCTTCTCCAGCCCTTCATTGCTGGTTGCAGAACTTTGTGCAGCACCTTCGACTGCTCTGTACCCCATTTCTTGCACTGCACCTGTCCCAAAAACTCTGGGCCACACATTCAACCTACACATAGACTTCCTGCCTCCTGACACCAAGGGACACTGCATGCCAGTAGACAGCCCCACACACGTGCAGGCTAAGCTGAGCCAAGCTTCCACTTTCTGCTCAGGGCAGCTGGTGGCTCGCTTCCTTCCCCAACTCCCTCCCCAGCATGGCCAGCTGCAGGCCATAAACAAGCCAACACCTGGAGGGCGTGTCCAGACCTTTTGGCACCAAAATAACTAGGAGGGCAAGGGCCGTTCTGACCTCTCGTCTCCAGGGATTGGTCTTCCAGCCCTTCTCTCCGGCTCTCTCACCCACATAGTTCCAAAGGTCGGGCTTATTAACGTCCACCCTGACTTAGGATGTTCTGGGGTCAAACAATGCAGGAACCAACGGGCTGGTCCTCGCACCAGGCACCACGGGGCAGAATCCCAGGCCCTGGGCTAGCCCAAGAGCTCTAACAGGAGCTAAACACAGCAGCCTGTGTACTGTGGCAGAGGGCAGGGGAAGGACTCAGTGCAATGGGGAACAGCTTTGAGAATCCTCAGAGGAGTGTGCCACCCTGGCCGTCCCTTGCCTGCATGCCCTGAGGGGAGCATGGGTTAAAATGGTTATGCACCATTGCCTTAGCACAGAGAGGAGAAGGAGGAGGGACTGTGTCTGATCCTGCTAACCCACAGCCTGAAGGACCAATCTTCCACCTGTAGTCTAGTGTATTTTAAATCCTCCTCCCAATGCCAGGATGCCTGAGTCAACACACGGGTCCACACCTCGTTTTGTCTGGGATCCCATCCAAGCTTCCCAAGTGGAGCCTCCTCATCTAAATCCCAATCTGCAGGACCCAAACAGCTGGAATCCTGCTCAACAACCCCAGATGTTGGGAACCTTCATGTGTATGGAACCCATGCCCTGGCCAGCCCTCTGTCGCCACATTCCATCCCAGAAGGCTGAGCCATGTGTACTCTCCATCTAGAAGTTAGGGTCCCCATCACAGAAGGCACCCTCTGCCTTCTGTGAGTGGGTTGAACTGTGGAGGAATTTCCAACCTCCCTTTACCCTGCTCCCTTAAAGCATGGACCAGAGATGGACCAGAGCCTACGCATCCCCAACCCCTCCTTGGCCGCCATGAGCCTGTTCAGTATCTGTGCCATCAGCAGCAGGCCTGGTGGGTACCTCAGGGCAGGAAGGGACCCCACAAAGGAAAGGCCCCTGGTATCACCTCTATTATCCCTCCTCCACCTGCAGCTCACCTTCCTTCCTGACATTCAGAGTGCTCTCCCCTATGCCTTTCATGCCCAATCTCAGTGAAGCACACTCTAAATAAGCCCACGTGACTCACAATCAACCCCTTTTTCTGGGACTCTCCATCTTCAGGGCTGGGCTCTGCCATCGCTGGCCATGGCCAAAGCTGAGCCAGTTGGATTCTCCTTCCCAATAACTGCCCACTGGGACCAAGAGACGCAGAGCTGGGAGCATGTGGTGCAGAGCCGCATGAATAGCCGCCCCAGAGAGTGGGTCCCTGACCCCTGGAGGTTCTCCGATTCCTGCTCACCCCAGATGCGGCAGCTAAGGTTCATCCTTCAGTTCTCTGACCACACCAGGGTCCTCCCACAACATCCTTCTCCCCACCTTAAGTTGACCAAATCTGATTTTGTTTCTTGCATTGAATAGATCTTAACCAACAACCCAAAGCTCAAACAGGCACCTGAACCCAAAAGTTGAATCAGTAACCAAGAGTATTTTTGTCCACAGGTGTTCTCTGCCCTGTTTAACTTGGGAGGCTCTTTAAGGCCTGGAAGTTGGGACTGGTCAGGTAATTAGAAACATACACACCAGGCCAGGCCCGGTGGCTCACGCCTGTAATCATGCACTTTGGGAAGCCGAGGTGGGTGGATCACCTGAGGTCGGCAGTTCGAGACCAGCCTGGCTAACGTGGTGAAACCCTGTCTCTAACAAAAATACAAAAAATTAGGCGGGCTTGTGGCACGTGCCTGTAATCTCAGCTACTCAGGAGAATCGCCTGAATCCGGGAGGCAGAGGTTGCAGTGAGCTGAGATCATGCCACTGCACTCTGGCCTGGGCAAGAAGAGTGAAACAAGGAAGGAAGGAGGGAAGGAGGGAGGGAGGGAGCGAAGGAGGGAAGGAGGGAAGGAGGGAAGGAAGAAAGGCAGGAAGGCAGGAAGGCGGGCAGCAGACGGGCAGGAAGGCACTGTTTCCAGAGAAACACCTCAGATTGAGACTCCTAGGAACGCCCCTGGACACACCAAGGGCCCCACCTGGTAAGCACATTGATTTCCAGACACCTTCTGTCCCTCATGGGCCAGTGGTGAGCCCTTCTGTGGAAGACTGGCCTCCTTCTCCCCAACCCTCCAACTTTAGGGATCCTAAAGGTGGCAGCTTCTGTGTCATGTCATCAACTCAGCCTCCCCAACAAATCAACCAACTCATGACTCAGAGGAGAACAAACAAGCTTTATTTCTCAGAAGAAGACTCATCCTTTCATACATAGCATAACTCCAAAGGGCTAAACTGTGGGGCTTTACACTGGTAACTACAGGTCATTTTCTGGCATCCTGAGCTGACATCTTCACTCATCAACGTCATTCTTGTCTCTCTTCCCCTCCTCAGCTTCTCCTGCATCTTTCAGATTCTGTCGAGCAAACTCCTCAAAAACTAAATTTGCATCCTGATAACTAAAATAAAACAAACAACATTTTGATCATTGCACGCCCTTTGAAGCTGAAACTGAAACAAGATCCTTGATATTTTTGCAACAAAGGAACTGATCAATGTTTTCCCCATGATAGAACATGGGAGCACGTCATTTTCCTCAAGGCTTTGTTTAAAATTCCTTTAACTAGCACCAATGGGAGAAAACAAAGGCACGCACAGTGTGAGCAAGCCCAGCATAATGGTGCGCGCGTGCCACAAGCACTAGGGAGCAGACAGGAAGTAGCAGATGTGCCTCCTGAACCGGCCGGAGAGCTTGGGATATGTGAAAAGACTCAAAGAGGGGTTTGTGCTGGAGGAGAAGGTCCCAGGGCACAGGGCAAGTCAGGGCCACAATCAAGAGGCTCACTCACCTTTCCTTAGCTGTAAGCAGGAATTAAAGGGAGGCAGGGAAGAGGGAGAGAGAGACATTTGTTAGTATAAATTCTATATCATAGCTGTACCTAGAAAATGTCTCCCTTTTAGGTGACTTTACGGTTTGAGAGATAAGGCCTAGATACATGTAATTCACGATCACAGCGTGTAATTCCTGCCTCCCTGCCTTTCCCACTTGAACAGCTTTTCTCCTTGCATTTTATTTTATTTAGACTGAGTCTCGCTGTGTCACCCAGGCTGGAATGCAGTGACACGATCTCTGCTCACTGCAACCTTTGCCTCCTGGTTTCAAGAGATTCTCATGCCTCAGCCTCCTGAGTAGCTGGAATTTCAGGCATGCGCCATTACGCCTGGCTAATTTTTGTATCTTTAGTAGAGACAGGGTTTCAGCTATGTTGGCCAGGCTGATCTCAAACTCCTGACCTCAAGTGATCTGCCCGCCTCGGCCTCCCAAGTGCTGGGATTACAGGCGTGAGCCACTGCGCCCGGCCTCTCCTTGCATTTTAAATCACTGCTTCCTTTACAATGTGCCACAACCCTCACCTCCTCAAATGAAACCCCCCCAGTCTCACCTGTAGGATGCTTTCCCTGATCAGCCTTGCCCCCTCTGGTGTCGCTTCTCCTTTCTTATTATTTATTTATTTATTTGAGATGGCATCTCGCTCTGTTGCCCAGACTGGAGTGAAGTGGCACAGTCTCGGCTCACTGCGACCTCTGTCTCCATTCAAGTGATTCTCCTGTCTTAACCTCCCAAGTAGCTGGGATTACAGGCGCCCACCACCACGCCTGGCTAATTTTTGTATTTTTAGTAGAGATGGGGTTTTACCATGTTGGCCAGGTTGATCTCGAACTCCTGACCTCAAGTGATCCACCTGCCTTGGCTTCCCCACCTTCCATGTCCTCTGGACCCCATCAAGGTCAGGGTCACCAGGGTGCCATGAGAATGTGCGCCCTGGCACCTCCATCTGTCAGGCTTCAGAGGGCTGAGACCTAGGACTTGACATTCACCAGCTCCCCAGGGGTGGGGTGTGCATTAAAGCTTGAGGACCAACCCCCAGTCACAAAGTTTTCAATTTCTGTTAACACATTGATTTTGTTGTTGTTGGGTTATGTTTTCACATGTGTTGTATCCCCAGACTGACTGCTATTAATTTGAATGATTTTTGTTCTCTTTTAGCTTTCTGCCCACCTAGTTTTGGGAAGCACAGTGGCAATTTGATGGTGAACCCCTGCTCTTGTCTCTGGTGCCCACCTGGAAGCCAGCACTGGGAGGGACTGTCTATGAGGGTCGCTACGTATGGGGCCCTAGAGAGGCCAGCTTGTCAAAACATCCCCTGGGCAAGAAATGCCCTGCAGCCCACAGTGCTAAGCGAAGAAATGACACTAAGTGGGACCATCAGCCTTGCAGAAGTGGACAACGAGGATGAATCAAATCAGCATCTTCGGATTCAGTACAGATACCCTTGACAGGGGACAATACAAACTTGGTAGCATGTCACAGCACTTATTACACACAAACTGCTTGGCCCCCAGGCTCCAGCAGGGCTTAACTACATATAGCTTATGCTTTTTCTGCTTAGAATCTTACCAGCCTAGACTCAGGGAGCCGAGAACTAGGCAGAGAAGACAGGAGAGATGGCATTTATCTCTAGAAATCTCATCTATCTCATATCTATCTCATATCTCTAGAAATCAGAATTTTATAACCAAGGGGTGATTTGTCTTAACCTTTGCACCCAGAAATCTCACAGTACAAAAGATCATTGTTTCATCCTGACATTGTGATATGTTCGCTGTTAAGGTCATGATGACTGGAATGTGAAAGTTGTATATGGAGAAAGAATTTTTTAAAATTAAGTCAGGCCGGGCACGGTGGCTCATGCCTGTAATCCCAGCACTTTGGGGGGCTGAGGTGGGCAGATCACCTGAGGCCAGGAGTTTGAGACCAGCCTGGTCAACATGGGGAAAACCCATCTCTACTAAAAATACAAAAATTAGCTGGGCATTGTGGCACACACCAGTAATCCCAGCTACTCGGGAGGTTGAGACAGGAGAATCACTTGAACTCGGGAGGCAGAAGTTGCAGTGTACCAAGATCGTGCCACTGTACTCTAGCCTGGGTGACAGAAAGAGACTCTGTCTTTAAAAAAAAAAAAAAATTAAAGCATAAAGTCTACTCAAATTCCAAAAAACAACCCAACATAAACTATGACATATCCTCAAGTGACTATCTTTTTAATGTGCTTGAAAGGAACCAGAAAGCATCTTAATCTCACACCACTAAGTAGTAGTATTTTAATGACACAAGCATAAATGAATTGAAAACATATAGCTAGACTACATTTTTCAGTTTTGGAAAACTTCATTGAGGGTCTGAATCCAAAATATTTGGAAAAGCTGCTTTGAAAGAAAGTACTGTTGAGACAAAACCTAAAATGAATAGCGGGGGCTCATTCTAATGTTTAAATGGCATTTCACTATCAATATAGAAAAGCTACTTGTAAAGTATGAGAAAAATAAACCCTGCTTGTTTATACCACTTTTACTTAAAATATCCCTTATTCCTATACTTGTGGAGAGTTCTCATTTAGACAGATCTGTTTTTCTTTCCTGTCACCTAAGCTGCCTCAACGTGAAGAAAATGTTTCTTTAGAATTTCTGAGATTTCACCTATATTATTTTTGCTGCTTCATTTACCTTTTTAGAAAGAGAATGATTGAGGCCGGGCACAGTGGCTCAAGCCTGTAATCCCAGCACTTTGGGAGGCCCGAGACCGGTGGGTCACGAGGTCAGGAGATCGAGACCATCCTGGCTAACATGGTGAAACCCCGTCTCTACTTAAAAAAATACAAAAAACTAGCCGGGCGAGGTGGCGGGCGCCTGTAGTCCCAGCTACTCGGGAGGCTGAGGCAGGAGAATGGCGTAAACCCAGGAGGCGGAGCTTGCAGTGAGCTGAGATCGGGCCACTGCACTCCAGCCTGGGCGACAGAACGAGACTCCGTCTCAAAAAAAAAAAAAAAAAAAAAAAAAAAAAAAACAGAAAGAGAATGATTGAGATCAAATTCATATACCATACAATTTACCTTTTCACAGTGGACAGTCTAGTGGGTTTTAATATGTTTTCAGAGTCATACAACTATTGCATAATTTCGTATCCATACAAGAGCCAGTAGATTTACAATTCAAATGAGCTGAGGTGTCAGGAACCCAGCCTGACCCTCTTTTCTAGTATTTTCTGTATTCTTATCATAACTGCCACTGTCAAAAATAGTTATCTTGAGGCCGGGTGCGGTGACTCACGCCTGTAATCCGAGCACTTTGGGAGGCTGAGGCGGGTGATCACCTGAGGTCAGGAGTTTGAAACCAGCCTGGCCAACATGGTGAAACTCCGTCTCTACTAAAAATACAAAAATTAGCCTGGCGGGGTGGCAGGCGCCTGTAATCCCAGCTATTCAGGAGGCTGAGGCATGCGAATCACTTAGGCGGAGGTTTCAGTGAGCCCAGGTTGTGCCACTGCACTCCCGCCTGGGTGACAGAATGAGACTCCATCTCAAAAAAAAAACAAACAAAAAAAAACAAACCAAAACAAAACAAAACAAAAAACAGTTATCTTCAGCCAGGTGCAGTGGCTCATGCCTGTAATCCCAGCACTTTGGGAAGATGAGGCAGAAAGAACACTTGAGCTCAGGAGTTCAAGACTAGCCTGAGCAACACGGCAAGATCTCATCTCTACTAAAAATCAAAAACACTAGCTGAGGGTAGTGGTATGCCTGTAGTTCCAGCTACTTCAGAGGCTGAGGTAGGAGGATGGCTTGAGCCCAGGAGGTCAAGTCTGCAGTGAGCTTGATCACACCACTGCACTCCAAACTGGGTGACAGAGTGAGTGAGACTCCGTCTCAAAAAAAAAAAAAAAAAAACAAAAAACTTTTAAATGCCTGTTAATGCTTTCAAATGAAACATGAGGCCTTTCGTTTCCAAATGAAATGCAAAATCCTTGTGCTTTCAAATTAAGTTTTTACCTAAATCATCTTTAATTCTAAATCCAGGTCTGTTGACAGCAGAGCTTCTGCTCTTAAATCATTCTTGATAAAATCTCACGAGATTGTCCCCATCCAAGAGCAAGGATGCTGCGTCTTGCAGACTCCAGCTGAAGCTGGATAATCTACCCAGCTCAGTGCTGAACAGATGGGCTCTCCCTCTCCCCCAGACTATTCGCCTTGTGCATGACATGGAATCTCTTATACCCGGCCACTCCATGCTCTAAGGTGTGGTCAAGAAAGACTAGAAATACATCAACAATAAATCTGCAAGTAGGAAATAATTAAAGAAAGCCAAAAAAGGACAAAACTGACCTGGGTCCTCAGGCTGAGGGTGCATGAGGCGGAATGGGACCTCAGTGGCGACTTCACTAGAAAAAAGAATGAAGATTGGTGTGAACACACACACACAATTATAAGTAACACAGCACAGACCTATGACTGCGGAGATTCACAGAAGATCCCCAGGCCCAAGCTGAAAGACAAGACAATGCAGTGGGATTTTTTTTTTTTTTTTTGAGATGGAGTCTCGCTCCGTCACCCAGGCTGGAGTGCAATGGCACAATCTCGGCTCACTGCAACCTCCACCTCCTGGGTTCAAGCAATTCTCCTGTCTCAGCCTCTCGAGTAGCTGGGACTACAAATGCATGCCCCCATGCCTGACTAATTTTTGTATTTTTGAAAAGTAGAGATGGGGGTTTCACCATATTGGCCAGGCTGGTCTCAAACTCCTGAACTCAGGTGTTCCACCAGCCTTGGCCTCCCAAAGTGCTGGGATTATAGGCGTGAGCCACGATGCCCAGCCTGCAGTGGGATTAAAAACTAAACAAAACAGAAATGGTCAAGTAGAAATTGGAAAGGTTCCAGAAACTTCACTTACACAGACACGGCCGAGGCAGCTAGTCTATTTAGGTCTCGCTTACTCCTGTTTACTAGGTACGGTGACTTGATACTGTGAGTGGGGAAGAGGTGAAATCCTGAAGAAAGAATTTTTTAAAAATATTCTTTGCAACAACATACACCGTGTTTCATATGTTAAAATTTCTGCAAGGCTGGTATGTTGCTGGCTGGGCACAGTCTCTTGCTACAGAGCAGAACGGAGACAAGCAGGATCCACTGAATTCCAAAAGCTAAAGGGCTGTGGGGCGACTTTCAATTTACATAAAACAAAGGAAGGAAGTAGAAGGGAAATTTAGACAAATGAAAAAGTGAAGAGAGGGGATGAAAGAAAGGGTTACTCTTCACTTCACCCAGGAACCAGGGCCTTCTACCCAAGGCTTACCTCCAGCCCAAGCACCTCTTTTTACAATGAAGCCACCACCCTCATCAGACCCAGGAGCAGATGGGTCTAAAAGAAAAGGTATAACCTGGGCTCCAGGTGAGGGAAGGAGATGAGAAGAGTTGGGATGATGGAGTACATAAGCTTAATGCCTGTCTCAAACATTTCTTAACTTGCTGCTTCTTCGTGCATAATTTAAAAAGGCAGCCATCACTATTTGCAATACCAAAAGGTAGAAACAACCCAAATGTCCACCAACAGATGAATGGGATAAACAAAATGTGGTATATCCATGCAATGGAATATTACTGAGCCATAAAAAGGAATGGAGTACTAGTACATGCTACAACATAGATAAACCTTACACTAATGACACTATGCTAAGTGAAAGAAACCAATAACAAAAGGCCACATATTGTATGAATCCATTTACCCACAATATCCAGAACAGGCAAATCTACAGAGATAGAGAACAGATTAATGATTATGTCAGAGACTATAGTGAGGGAAAATGAAAGTGACTGGTTAATGGGTATGAGATTTTCTTTTTGGGTGATAAAAATGTTCTAGAACTAGATAGTGGTGATGGTTGCATAACAGCGTAAACATATTTAATGCCACCGAATTGTGCACTTTAAAATAGTGAAGGCTGGGCAGGGTAGCTCACGCCTGTAATCCTAGCACTTTGAGAGGCCGAGGCAGGTGGATCACTTGAGGTCAGGAGTTCAAGACCAGCCTGGGCAACATGGTGAAACCCTGTCTCTACTAAAAATACAAAATTAGTTGGGCACAGTGGCGTGAGCCTGTAATCCTAACTACTCAGAATGCTGAGGCAGAAGAATCGCTTGAACCAAGGAGGCAGAGGTTGCAGTGAGCCAAGATCATGCCATTGCACTTGAGCCTGGGCAACACAGCAAGACTCCATCTCAAAAAAATAAATAAAATGGTTAAAATGGTAAAATGTATGCCAGGTGTGTGGTGGCTCATACCTGTAATCCCAGCACTTTGGGAGGCCAAGGCAAGATGATCACTTGAGGTCAGGAGTTCAAGACCAGCCTGGCCAACATAGTGAAACCTCGTCTGTACTAAAAACACAAAAATTAGCCAGGTGTCGTGGCACACGCTTGTAATCCCAGCTACTCAGGAGGCTGAGGCGGGAGGATCACTTGAACCCAGGAAGTGGAGGTTGCGGTGAGCTGAGATCACGTCACTGTGCTCCAGGCTTGGCGACAGAGTAAGACTACATCTCAAAAAATAAATAAATAAATAAATATAATAGTAAATTTTATGTTATGTGTATTTTACCACACACACACAAGCTGACTGCGTGGAGTACACCAGTTTTCTAGGTGTGCATATGTGTGTCCTTACACAGGCATAGGTCTAGCTGTGGTTCCAAAGAAATGTGGTCCCAAAGAAACACCTATGAGCCATGGTTCTGTGATGCATCTGAAGGCAAAGCATCATTCCTAACACCTCTGAGCACAACTGCCCAGAAAGCAGCTTTCACCAGAAACCATTTTGGAGCCCCAGGTTTGCTGCCTTTGATATTTTGAGAAACAAGCAAACAGGAAGGTGAACAGGCTTACCTGGAGGTGAGCTCTCCCAGAAAGCTAGAAAACACAAAATAAATGCCTGTGGTAACTGTCACAGTGGTAACGCAACCCTTTCCCATGGTTCAGAGGCAGGACACAGCCCAGCTCTCATGGTCCTTGCACCTGAACCAACAACGTCCAGGGTCTTTGTATCCCTTAATGTTCAGCTTCATTCCTGCTGTCTACCTGTGACTTCATCTCTTTCTCAAGATGATTAGTTTAAAAGGGGCTGGGCATGGTGGATCATGCCTGTAATCCCAGCACTTTGGGAGGCTGAGGCGGATGGATCATGAGGTCAAGAGATCGAGACCATCCTAGCTAACATGGTGAAACCCCATCTCCACTGAAAATACCAAAAAAAAAAAAAAAAAAAAAAAAAAAAAAAAAATTAGCCAGGTTTGGTGGTGGGCGCCTGTAGTCCCAGCTACTCGGGAGGCTGAGGCAGGAGAATGGCGTGAACCCGGGAGGCAGAGCTTGCAGTGAGCTGAGATTGAGCCACTGCACTCCAGGCTGGGCGACAGAGTGACTCCATCTCAAAAAAAACAAAACAAAACAACAACAACAACAACAACAAAAAACCAACCTAACCCAACTCTACTAAAAATACAAAAATCAGCTGGGCATGGTGGCAGGTGCCTGTAATCCCAGCTGAGGCAGGAGAATTGCTTGAACCTGGGAGGTGGAGGTTGCAGTGAGCTGAGATCATACCACTGTACTCCAGCCTGAGTCTCAGAACAAGACTCTGTCTAAAAAAAAAAGTGGTTGGGCGTGGTGGCTCATGCCTGTAAATCAGCACTTTGGGAGGCTGAGGCGGGCAGATCACTTGAGGTCAGGAGTTCAAGATCAGCCTGGCCAACACGGTGAAACCTCGTCTCTACTAAAAATACAAAAATTAGCCAGGCATGGTGGTGTGCACCTGTAATCCCAGCTACTCGGGAGGCGGAGGCAGGAGAATCACTTGAACCTGGGAGGTAGAGGTTGCAGTGAGCCGAGATCATGCCACTGCACTCCAGAGTGAGACTCCATCTCAAAAAAAAAAAAAAAAAAAAAAAAAGTCAAGCCCTAACATTCAAGGTAAGTCACATGGGTTATTGTGAAATACCTGCTGGTTGCTTTCCTTGACTGCTAAAAGAAACTCCACCCTGTTTTTAGATCCTTTTATGCACTATCCACTGTGAGAAATTTAAAAAAAACACACTATACTAACGAAAAATGCAAAACAGACCCATGTTCTACTTGTTAGAAATTTGGGAAACTCTTTTTTTTAAACCCTTATTTTATTCAAGGGAATTTTTTGTTTGTTTGTTTGTTTTTTTTTGTTTGAGACAGAGTCTCGCTCTGTCGCCCAGGCTGGAGTGCAGTGGTGCAATCTAGGCTCACTGCAAGCTCTGCCTCCCGGGTTCACGCCATTCTCCTGCCTCAGCCCCCCGAGTAGCTGGGACTACAGACACCTGCCACCACACCCATCTAATATTTGTATTTTTATTAGAGACGGGGTTTCACCTTGTTAGCCAGGACTGTCTCCATCTCCTGACCTCGTGATCCGCCCGCCTCGGCCTCCCAAAGTTCTGGGATAATAGGCGTGAGCCACTGCGCCCAGCCGGGAATTCTTCACTACTTAGAAGTGTGAAACCTAGGTACAGACTTGCCTTTGATGGCAGAACTACTCAAGGCTTGTCCAGGTAAAAGGCCAGAGTCTTTAGCAATGGAACTTGAAACAAAAATGAGAATTCAAGTTTTTCCTTTTTGGTAAGATTAAACAAATGGAAGAAATTGGTTTCACACGAAAATGAAAGTGGAAACCTGTTCCCTTAAAACTCTGAGATATTGGCACTCTCGTATGAAAAGAAGACTCCTACACCCTGTGATTACATGTGCGAGAAGGGAGGAGAAGGTCCCTGCTTTATGGATCGATACCTTCTAAGATGCAACTACATGAAGATTTACTGGGTTATTTCACAGCAGTTACTCTTTTCTGAAGGATAACCTTTGACTAATCTTCATTCTTGCACATCAGCTTCCACCACATGCACATATGCACATGTACTTTTGCAAAGTGGAGCTAAGAGTGCACACATTTCAGAGTCTGCTTCTCCACCCTTTACCACCTGACATTTTATCAGACAGAAGCATGGTACTAGACAAACAGAATCTCTCCCAAACTCTACTTGGTAATCCTTGGTAAAAGCTGTGGGCCTTTCCTTGCTTTCTGTCTCCCAGTCATTCAGGAAAGGAACAGTTCAGACCATCTAAGACCAGGACAGAGCAGCCCGAGGGTTGGTGCCGGGACACTTACCCTGACACTGTGAGCTTCACCTTGATCTGGTAAGACACCAGGATCCCCAGGACGGTCCGATCTATGCCCTCTTTAATGCTGCCCAAACAGAAAGGAAAAGGAGAAGGATGATGGAGAGCAGAGGAGGGTGAAGAGCAGGTGGGCAACCTTTCCATTCCGGGCAGGCACGCCGTCATGGAGGTTCTCCAGGGACTGGTAAACTCACGAGCTGCCGAAGTCCTAGAAGTTCACGTACTTGGGGGGTGGGTGTGGGGACTCCTTGCAGGCACTGGAGGAATTCCTGCATCTTCTCCTCTAGAAGCTCCCAGAGGGCAGAGCGTGCAGCCCCCTTCTCTGTGCTTGACCTCTACAGATGCACATCCCCCGGTCATCCTCCTCAGCTCCTCCCTTCCACCACCTGCCAAAACTGCCATCTCTGCAGGTCCCCAAGTCCTCCTACAGGCTTTGCCTGCCTGGATTATCTCAGCAACTCATCTCCCATGCGCCAGGCCCCTTCTCTGAGCTCTGTGGCCACCTGCAGGTTCAGCCTCAGAAGCAGCCCGCAAGCCGCCCTGGCCTGCCTTTGCTACTTCATCCCCAGCTGTGTCCCAGCGCCCCCCCGTGCCAGACTTGCCAACACAACCCTGCACCAGAATGACCCCTCCTTCTCTCCTGCCTTCCAAGATATCCAGCTGGGTGTCCCCAGCACCCAACATCAGACCTGGCACCAAGTGAGAGCTGTCAATATTTAACTGAATGTGCAGGATGTGCAAGACCCTCAGATGCGTCCCCAAAGACAGTGCAATGTGACATTCCTTGACAGAAATGTCATTCCAGATCCCACTAATATGTACTGAAGTCCTACTATCTGGCAGGCACTGTGCTGGGCATTTCATCACCGATGCTTATCACGTGGGATCCAACGCGGAGGACATGAGTACTCCAGGATATCCAATAACAGGAATTAAGGTATAAAAAAAGGCATGAAATGCTAGCAAAAATCATGTAAATAATGATAGAAAACAAGCCCAGAAACCTGAAGGCTACAGGCAGAAAGCAGGGGAGGGTGGAACAGCTCTGGAAAAAGAGTTGGGGAGGCAGCCAGCAGGTGCTGGGCCTGGAAGAAGACGTCAGCTCGGGAGCCTCTGAGGGGAAGTGTCTGAGGCACGTGTTTCCAGGACCACAGTGCTCCCCAGAGAGCTCATGGGTGTCTGGAGCTCCTTTAAAAGAGGACAGAATAGCCAGACATAGTGGCTCACACTTTTAATCCCAGCACTTTGGGAGACCGAGGTGGGCAGATCACTTGAGTTCAGGAAATTCAAGACTAGCCTGGACAACATGGTGAAACCCCATCTCTGTTGAAAGTACAAAATTAGCCAGGCTTGGTGGTGGGAGCCTCTAATCCCAGCTACTCAGGAGGCTGAGCCAGGAGGATCTCTTGAACTCGGGAGGCGGAGGTTGCAGTGAGCCAAGATTGCGCTACTGCACTCCAGCCTGGGTGACAGAGTGAGACTTTGTCTGAAAAATAAAATAAAAATAATTTTTAAAAAGAGGGCAGAATATCTTTATCTGGACTTGCGGAGTATGGCCAAGGGAAGAGAGGATGCCTCCAAAGGGAAAAAAAGCGGGTACGAGCTTGAGATCCTCCCCTTTGCTGGGATTGGCCTTTTTTTTTTTTTTTTTTTTTGAGACAGGGTCTTATTTTGTTACCCAGGCTGGAGTGCAATGGCAGGATCATAGGTCACTGTAACCTCGACCTCCTGGGCTCAAGCAATCCTCTCATCTCAGCCTCTCAAATAGCTGGGACTACAGGCATGTGCCACCATGCCCAGCTAATGTTTTAATTTTTTGTGGATATGGGGTTTCGCCATGTTGCCCAGGCTGGTCTTAAACTCCTGGGCTCAAGCGATTCGCCCACCTTGGCCTTCTAAAGTGCTGGGATTACAGGTGTGAGCTGCTGCCCCCAGCTGGGATTAACTACCTTGCACTGAATGGGGCCGAGCAGCTGCTGAACAGAACGTGCTCTGCCACCTGCCTAAGAATGCCCTGCATGCCGGGCACGGTGGCTCAAGCCTGTAATCCCAGCACTTTGGGAGGCCAAGACGGGTGGATCACGAGGTCAGGAGATCGAGACCATCCTGGCTAACATGGTGAAACCCCGTCTCTAATAAAAATACAAAAAACTAGCCGGGTGAGGTGGCGGGCGCCTGTAGTCCCAGCTACTCGGGAGGCTGAGGCAGGAGAATGGCATGAACCCGGGAGGCCAAGCTTGCAGTGAGCTGAGATCCGGCCATTGCACTCCAGCCTGGGCGACAGAGCGAGACTCCGTCTCAAAAAAAAAAAAAAAAAAAAAAAAAGAACGCCCTGCAAACTTTGTTCCCTGGCATCTTCCTGGATTGGGAGATCTGCTGTGGAGTGTACTCTGCTCTGCTATTAACTGATTTAGTGACCTTGGATAAGTCTTTCATTCTGGCTCAACCTCAATTTCTTTATCCATAAAATGCATATAAATATACCTTCCTCATGGAGGTGTGGAGAGTCATAAATGTTTTTTTGTTTTGTTTTGTTTTGTTGTTGTTGTTGTTGTTTCTGAGATGGAGTCTCACTCTGTCAATAGGCTAGAATGCAATGGTGTGATCTCGGCTCACCACAACCTCCACCTCCCAGGTTCAAGCGATTCTCCTATCTCAGCCTCCCGAGTAGCTGGGATTACAGACACCCGCTACCAGGCCCAGCTAATATTTGTATTTTTAGTAGAGATGGGGTTTCACCATGTTGGCCAGGATGGTCTCCAACTCCTGACCATAGGTGATCCGCCTGCCTCAGCCTCCCAAAGTGCTGGGATTACAGGTATGAGCCACCATGCCCTGCCAAGTCATACATGTTTAGAAACTAGTCCACACGCCACGGAACATTCCCACAGTGCGGTGAGCTGTCATTGTTCATCTTATGATTCCTATGCCCTTGAATGCATTGACCTAGGCTCTCAGTTTCCCTGATATTCTCTCCTGGAGCTTCACGAATGTGCTTTAGAATCTAACACAGTCACTTGGCCAATTATTCTCAGAAAATCCTTTGACTTCCACCTGCTTTCTGCCAGTTATTCACTGCTCCCCACTCTCGGTGTCTGAGTGTGTCAGCTACTGAGCGTCGGGGTCTTGGGGTCAAACAATCCAGTCTGCCGGCCGTTGGCATCACCTTGGAGGTGGTCTACTGGGGCCACAGAGGGAACCCCCAGCACATCACATGGGGAGGTGGCAGTGAGTGGGCCCTGAGCCTGGGTTTTGGCTCCAATCCAAAACTCTGAGAGTTCACCAACAGACACGCTCCTGGGAAGGGAAGCGCAAAAGCATGGCTCGGAAGGACAGCGGATGCTAACTTGGGAACTTCACTGCACAGTCTTTGCTAGATCTGCTGCCCAAATTCAGTCAGGGGTCCTTTGAGTCAGGGTCAGCAGATCAGTACCTAATTTCATTTAAATTTAATGGACATCTAAAGTCATTAGGACCTCCCGTTCTTCACAATTCCTGATGGAAATGGATGAATGAATGAATACAGCCAAGAGCATCACTCAGTTTACATGCTTAGGGCACTACACTAGCCAGTGATGCTTCTAAAAACAGTAGCTGACATTCCTGGAGCACTCACTGTGTGTTAGGCCCCACGCTTTACATGGACTGTCTCACTGAATCCTTATAGCCATTCTATGAGACTTGAACTATTATTGCCCCCACTTTACAGACAGGAAAACTGAGGTTCTCAGAGAACTCAAGGCATTTTCCCAGGGTCAGCAGCAGAGCTGGGATTAGCGCACAGCTGTCTCCAGGGCCCACGGGTGTAACTCCCACATCACACCAGGGGTGAGAGTGGGATCCTTGTTTGGGCCCCTAGGTATGCAGTCAGTCCACACTACACACGCCAGGCCACCATGCTGCATGTGTGTGCCTGCGAGCCCAGCAGGGTGACGTGAAGGGGAGCAGACCAGCACTAGCCCGCCCTGCCGGGGCCTATTCCCTGAGCCTCAAGGACCTACATGGTGCTGGAGGCAAGGTTCGTGTCCTCATGCTTGATTTTCCCGTCCAGGGCAATGCCTCTCCTTTCTCGATTGTTAGCCAGCAAGGGCAGCAGCGTCAGCGTCTTGGTCAAAGTGCTGTTTGGTGGCACTTTTTCTCTAGAGGAAGAAGAACAGAGGAGATTTATAACCATAAAAGTTGCCATGGGCCCATGAGCCCCTATTTGACATTAGTCATTTTCCAGGATCCATATCCCCTGATGGACCTCCTGGGAAGCTGGGTTCAGGTGCCTGAGAACTTGCCTTATGAGAAGCAGAACAGTGCTTGTGAAATCTCAGGGTGGGCTGGCAGCACAAGGAGGATATTTCTTCAAGCAACTCAGCCTATTCTGAATTGCTGAATTTCCAGAATTTTCTATGGAGTTAATGAGACCAACTGGCTTGAGAGTTAGAGACCACAGTCTCCTCCTGAGACTGTGAACCACACGGTGGCCTGAAGAACGTTATGGTTAGCGTCAGCAACGAGCCCAGGCCAGAAAGGCTCTTGGCACCAAAAACTGTCACTATAAGGGGGTCACAGTGTGACTGTGTGGTAAGTTGTCTAGAGGGGCAACGCAGGGACCCACAGTTTGTGGATCACACAGACGGACTGGCTTGGGTCCAGACAGCACATGTTCTTTCTCTACTGGATCTTCTTCCACATCAGTCGGGGTATAGATTTCTCAACATCTGACAGATGGTGGGGACCCTGTGCCAACGGGCGGGTCTGGGATCAAGCTGGGGACACAGCAGTGTGTGTTTCTCCAGGCAGACACATGGCAGCATGGCCAGGATCACAAAGCAGCCTCCGCGACTGGGGAGTTGGCTCCTCCGCTCACATGCGTGCTGTGTGCCGGGCCTGGTGCTGAGGCCTGTCCCCAGAACCTCTCACCTTACCCTCATCAACCCCATACCAAGCAAGTGCTCCTAAGATCCCCATTTTCCAGACGGGAAGTGTGCTCACGGTCACGTGGCTGCACACTGTCTGACGGCAGAGCCCATTCGTGCCGCCAGCACACCCTCCATCCTGTGCCTAGCCAGAAGGAGGTGGGGTGTGGCCAGCATCAGGACCATTCTAAGGCTGTCCTGAGACAGCTGGAAGTCTGAACTGCCTCTCTGGGAAAGGACTTCGTTTCCCTAATCAAGTGTCCCTGGATAGGTAAAAGCAGCTGTTCCCTATCCTGCCTCCAATGTCTACAGGATGCTCTTTCCAGAAATCTGCCAGAGCCCAAGGTGGCCCACATCCTACCATCTGGGTCCTGGTAGAACCTCTCTTCATGAGCATAATTTGGGCATTGAAAAAAGCAGAAACAGCATCGTAAAGATGGCTGGAATAGGAAGAGGGCCCTTGGGGTTGGGCTCAGAGGATGGACTTTGTGTGTGTGCAGAGCTTGCCAAAGGACTATGTCTAGGCCCTGGGGCTGCTCCCCAGAGCTTCAGGATGTGGGTTTGGACGGCGGGGAGCAGCTTGGGAGTCAGGTCTGACCTGGTTCCGTGCAAGCCTGCCCACCAAAGCCCCAGAAGCCACAGGGCTCTGGGACGATGGCTCCTGCTCTGCAGCCTTCCGAGTGACCTCTAGCCTGAGACTCATCAGCACGGTCCAGTCCAGCTCCCAGGCTCCTCCAGCCTTTGGGGGAGTTTGGGATGCTTTCCAGCTTCCTGGGACTCTTTGACCCAAAATGCACCCAACACTTTGAAAGAGGACCAGGTGATGGAATACATATTAGGGGAAAACTGGGCCAGGACCCTTCGCTCCCATGTTGCTGCGCACATGTGGAAAGGTGAACCAGGGCCAAGACCCCCAGGACACAGGGATGTGTGAGGATCCCCTAAAGGCAGAACAGAGCCCAGGCTTGGCAGAAAGGAGGCAATAAGTGGTGGTTCTTTCCTGTCTCCCTCCCTTCTAGACCTGAAGGTTGAATCTGTTTTGAGTAACAGTAATAGTTTCTCCTAAAGTTGCCTTTTAAATATTACCATATAGGCTGGGCGCGGTAGCTCACACCTGTAATTCCAGCACTTTGGGAGGCTGAGGCAGATAGATCACCTGAGGTCAGCAGTTTGAGACCAGCCTGGCCAACAGGTGAAACCCTGTCTCTACTAAAAATACAAAATCAGCCAGGCACAGTGGCTCACACCTGTAATTTCAGCACTTTGGGAGGCCGAGGTGGGCAGATACCTGAGATCAGGGGTTCAAGACCAGCCTGGCTAACATGGTGAAACTCTGTTTCTACTAAAAATACAAAAAATTAGCCAGGGGTGGTGGTGTGCGCCTGTAATCCCAGCTACTCAGGAGGTAGAGGCAGGATAATTGCTTTAACCTGGGAGGCAGAGGTTGCAGTGAGCCAAGATCGTGCCATTGCACTCCAGCCTGGGCAACAAGAGCAAAACTCTGTCTCAAAAAAGAAAAAAAATTAGCTAGGCGTGGTGGCAGGCACCTGTAATCCCAGCTACTTGGGAGACTGAGGCAGGAGAATGGCTTGAACCTGGGAGGTGGAGGTTGCAGTGAGCCGAGATCTCACCACTGCACTCCAGCCTGGGCAATGGAGTGAGACTCCATCTCAAAAAAATATATCTATTACTTTATATTATCTTAAGGAATCAGTTTGTCTTTCATCATTCCCCTACCCTAACCTTCCTCTAACTCTGCTAATATTTTTTACATACAACGGTGCTTAGAACATGCGAGCGAGGCAAAGAGTTAAGACCTAGCCAAGTTATCCTCTTGTGGGGCTGGAGGTGGGGGATCATCGCCCTCCACTCCAAGCCATGTGTTAAATGAATCTATTTGACTTTGTGGCACACAGCAAAGCTGGGCAGGTCTCTCAGGCCAGCATAAAGGAACCATGGCAGGATTCTCATTTGTTTTTGATTCTAACAAAGGGGAAAAGTCATTCACAACAACCGGCTAAGAATGGATATATTATAATCCAGCTGTCACTGGTGTTACGATTTTCAATTTGAGATGAAAAGATACAGAATCCTAGCCTGGGCTGACAGTTCATTTGACCATCTTCTGCGAGGTAGAAATAGTATCAAATTCCTAACAACTCATTCCAAGGATAAATAGAAAAAGCCAGTTGATCCCATGGTGACATTTCTGTCTTTATGCCTCTCCTCTGCATCACTCTTTGGCTAGCATTAATCCTCAGAACTCCTGTGAGATGGGCACAGAGGGGTGTGGTAGACGCAGAGATAAGATGCTCACTTTCTGTGCAGCCCTCGAAGGGAGAAAGAGGAAGGAAGTGGAAGGCTGGCGAGCTAGCTGAACATTCTAGTTCCCTCTTCAGCAATAACCGGTGAGAAACTTGACACAGAAGGCTGAGACGCCCAGGAAATGGAAACCCCACCAGCTACTCACTGCGCTTCCTCCATAGCCACAGGCTTGACGTAATAATCACTCGAGTAGAGAACCACATTGGCCACCTGTTCCACTGCAAGGGGAAGACGGGAGTCAGGTGGTCAGCACTGGTCCCCCGACACGTGCACATTCCCTGCGGCGTCCCAGGGTGCACGCTGGTCTCTCCTCTCTGATGATGGTTTCCCTCCACTTCCCAGGCTTGGCTTTCTCAGCCCTCAGCTTCAAGGCTGTGGTTTTGAAGTTCTGTCTCCAGGTCATTTCTGGTCACCCATAACCTGCTCTGTATCAACTCCCACCCATAGCCCAGTGCCTGCAACTCCCAGGCTGCAGCTCCTGGGAGACTCCTCCTTTCCTATGCTTAGCCCCATCTAACACCCTCCATCTTATTTCATGAACATTGTCCTTCCTGTCCTCCAAGAGACTAGCTAGAGGCAGCACAGGACTGGTTGGTGGGTGGAACGTGGTAGATAGGAAGGTGGGCCTGGAGCCAGGCTGTTTGGGTGCCAGTCTTGGCTTAGCCACTAACTGTGGGGTGAATTATTTAGCTATTCTAAGCCTCAGTTTCCCCATCAGTAAAATGGGGGTAATAACTGCATCTAACTCATAGGGACGTTGTGATGATTAAAAAGATGACTTTTAATCACCTTTAAAATTAAGTTTGAGGATTAAAAAAAAAAAATAAAGGCAGGGTCTCCCTATATTGCCCAGACTGGTCTTGAACTCCTGGGCTCAAGGGATCCTCCTACCCTGGCCTCCCCAAATGCTGGGATTACAGGCGTGAGCCACCACACCCAGCCAAAGTTTGAGGATAAAGAAACAATTTGTGCAAGGTATGCAGCACAGTGCCCAGTCTATAGAAAGCAATTAATATTTTGTTTTAAAAAATTTAACAGCTATCTGGGTGCAGTGGCTCATGCCGGTAATCCCAGCAATTTGGGAGGCCGAGGCGGGTGGATCACCTTAGGTCAGGGGTTTGAGACCAGCCTGGTCAACATGGCGAAACCCCCCTCTTTACTGAAAATACAAAACTAGCTGGGCAAAGTTGGTGCACGCCTGTGATCCCAGCTACTTGGGAGGCTGAGGCAGGAGAATGGCTTGATCCAGGCGGTGGAGGTTGCAGTGAGCCGAGATTACACCACTGCACTCCAGCCTGGGCAACAGAGGGAGACTCTGTCAAGACAGACAGACAGACAGACAGACAGAAAGAAAGAAAGAAAGAAAGAAAGAAAGAAAGAAAGAAAGAAAGAAAGACAAGACAGACAGACAGACAGACAGACAGACAAGTGTTGTTGTTGTTGTTGTTGTTGTTGTTGTTGTTGCTGTTTATGGTGAAAGAAAGAAAGAAAGAAAGAAAGAAAGAAAGAAAGAAAGAAAGAAAGGAGGGAGGGAGGGAGGGAGGGAGGGAGGGAGGGAAGGGAAGGGAAGGGAAAAGTCTAGAATTCCTTAGCCTGCACGCATCAGAGTTGCTGACCCTCATCTGTGATGACTCACAGGGAAAAGTGGTATATGACACCTAGGGCCACTGCTCATCCTGGCTTGCCTGGGATAGCCCATTTTAGGACTGGAAGTTTCACATCCTCAGTACTGGGCCACCTGGGACAGTTAGTCACCCCAAGATGTATAAGTCTCATTTTGTCTCGGTCATCAAATGTTTGAGTTAAAAACTGAACTTAGAGGTTACCCTCACAGGTGATTCCATCATGTCTTTCTCGTAAAAGAGCCACATAAGACCATCATATATGACCCCCTGTGCTTTGATGCCCTTTGAGCTTAGTTAATGTGTGGGAAAAGCAGGCAAAGGCACTTCCCCTGCAGGATATGGCAAGGTCAGCCATGACATGATGGCCATTTGAGCCGAGACCGTCACACTTCAACATTTACAAAGCGCTTCCACATGGGACCTCTCCTGAGAGCCACACAAAGCCTGAGAAGGCAGACAAGGAGCCCCTGCTGCGGATGCTGGGATCACAGAGCCCACAGCAGGAGTCCACAAATTAGGCCTCACCCACGACACTGTGCTGCATCTGTCAACAATGCTGAGCACTGTGGGGCCTGAGCACATGGAAGGCATGACCATGGAAAGAGATCACTTGTCAGGAATTTTGTTCCAAGACAAAAACCAGCTGTAAGTGGGCAGGAAGTTGACTGAGATGACTTGTAAGGCCTTTCTCCCTCCACAGTCCTGCTGCCTATGACGGCAGAGACAAGTAGCCAGTTCCAAGGACCCAGAAGGGCCTTGTCAGACTGGAGAAGTGACCCCTCAGGAAACAGGATCAGAAACTCTAGAAGACTGCCCTCTACTTTTGAGAAGAAGGTCCTACCGAATGCTTTAATCTTCTTCACGGTCTTCTCTGTGTTATTGGTGACAGTCACGGTCACAGGGATGGGTTCCCCATGGAAATAGATCTGGAAAAGTCAGCAGACAGGTCAGAAGAAGAGAACAGATGTGGTAGTGTCTTTAATCTCACAGCTTTCTAGATTCATCTCAATCCCTTTCACTAGATGAAAAGCAGCAGAATGTAAGGAAGATGAAGTGACAGCAACACGTTTCTTCTAAGGAAGGGTCTGAAACATTCCACCCACCTGTGGAAAGCTAGGGAGGGGAATGGAGTTCCAGTCATCGCATGGAGGAGGCCAGGGCTCAGAAGGTGATGGGGGCAGGATGAGTGAAGTGAAAGGAAACCACTGGGAAAACCAAGTGCTGGCATCCTGCCCAGCAGAGCCCGTGTAACCCAGCCCCTGGGCACACCCACACACGTGTATGCACACACAGTGCACACACGGCTGACCGCTGACCAGAGGAACCAGAGGCAGCCTCGGCCAGCAGCTTTCACCTTTTCCCACCGTGACACCCCTAAGAGATGACATCACAGGTGACACCGCCATCCCATATGGTTTCTGCAAAATTTAAATTTCCCAGGAAGTGAAGAATTTGCGATATCACAGCTATTGATGCTCCATGGTGAACGAGGCCAATGGAGGTGGAGAGGGCAAGGACAGCTGGGGGGCAGGTATGTGCAAAGCAGCGCACCTTCCTTCCCCAGTCCCTTGGGACAGCCAGTAGGTGGAAACCCTCCACTAAGGACCACGCTGACCAGCTCCAGGCTGTGAAAACAGGCCAGTCACTTACGCACGTTGGTGCTTTATCCTAAAAACAAGCTTCCTTGCAAGGCACCCATGTAGACAGGGGCTGGGGCTGGTGAAGAGGGGATGTGGGGCCTGCCCCCAGGCCTGCTGCCCTGTGGGTAGTAGCGATGGTAGGTGGTTACCTCTTTGCTGAGAGAGACCGCAAGGTGCAGGGGCTTGTCAGACATGAAGAACTGCCAGGACGCCTCAGCTCGGGGCTGGGGACCCATCTCAAGTGGGGCATGCTGTACTTTCCGGATCAGTAACCGCACGGAGCTCCTGCGGGGAACAGCCACAGACAGGCCAGGGATTGGCACCCAGGCCGCTTCAGGGAGGGCTCTGTTCTCTCCCAACCGTCACACGGGGATTCTCCAGGAACACTCCACATAGAGACAGGGTGGACGGAAAGAGGGCAAGGACACTGGTCAGAGCCTGAGGCAGCCCTGACGGTGGGAGAGCCTGGGGTTCTGGTTTCTGGTCCCTTCCCTGGGGGAAAAGCTGTGGGGCCAGGCAACGTCCCAAGGGCTAAGCTTAGCCTCTTAGGCTCCATGGGCTCCCAGCTCTGCCTCCTCTCAGAGAGGCTGAGGTGTGAGGGTATCAAGGACCTCATGGAATAGCTGCGATATACATGCAAGCTCCACTACTGCAGCTTACGCTCCTGCGCCTCCAGAGATGTGTACACGGGACAGGAGGAGACTGGGTGAAGGGCCAGGCGGAAACCTTGTTTAGGTAAAAAAAGAAAACAGCACGCGGGTGGGAGATTGGGAGGGATGGAACGGTAGACTTAATGGTTGTAGAGTTCCTGCTCAGGCAATGAGAAAGTTTTGAGTATAGACAGCAGTGATGGCTACACAACATTCGGAATGTCCTTAAGCCACTGAATGGTACATTTAAAAGTGGTTAAAATGGGCCGAGCACAGTGGCTCACGCCTGTAATCCCAGCACTTTGGGAGGCCAAGGCGGGCGGATCACTTGAGGTCAGGAGATCAAGACCAGCCTGGCCAACATGGTGAAACCCCGTCTCTACTAAAAATACAAAAAAAAAATTAGCCAGGTGTGGTGGCGGGCACCTTTAATCCCAGTTACTTCAGAGGCTGAGGCAGAAGAGTCGCTTGAACCTGGGAGGCGGAGGTTGCAGTGAGCCGAGGTCACATTGCACTCCAGCCTGGGCGACAGAGCGAGGCTCCACTTCCAAAAGCAAAATAAAATAAAATACAAAAGTGGTTAAAATGGCAAACTTCATGTTGTGTATATTTTACCACAAAAAACAAACAAACAAACCAAAAACCTAAAGAAAGGAGAAACCTGGGAGTTTCACGGGATTATGTGAGCCCTGGAGGTTGCTAACTTCCCTGTCATTTTCTTGTATTTTTTTTTCCCAAAAATGATCAACCTTTGACCTCTATCCCACATGCAGATGGTACCCCAGCTGTGCCAGCCCTGTGGGAAGAGTTCTGTCCCAAAGAAACAAGGTAAGGCCATCTCTTCTCTCCACCCCCACTGCAGACCCCTCACCTATTCCACAACCACACTCTTACTTCTTGGGGATTTTGTCCTCTTCGTCATCGGCGCTGTCTGTGGCGAATGCTTTGACCTCAAAGTCAACCCCACAGGACTGTTGGGAAGAGAGAGCAGACAGGCAGCCGTCAGCACCTCCCGCCCTGGGTGCCGGGCCAGAGGGTCACACCTCACGTAGGGCACGTGACGTGGCACTATCTCTTTTTGTCTTGGCCATGTCCTATTCGGGGTTGCAGCATTTAGGGATTTGGAAGCATACTAACAGTGAAACAATGACAGTAGCACAAGGAGTGTGCCATGGGCCCAAAGCCCTCAGAGGGAGGGGATCCGCCTGCCCCATGAGCCCTCCTGCTGCCGTGGAGAGTCACTCGCATCCTCGCTGTCCTTGCCTCCCGCCACCTTGCACACTTAGGCGTCCCCAACTGTGACCCCGCACATGTTATTGACTTCCACTGCCTACAGCAGGGGCCAGAGGTACAGGCACTCACAGGGCCAGCGCTGGGGTCCAGGAATCCCCTGATATAGTATGAAACCCTGACCCCCATGGTCACCTGCTGTTCAGCGGCAGCCTCATGTGGCCAGGCAGCAAGGCACCCAGTGCTGGCAGCTCGATTTTTTTTTTTTTTTTTTTTTTTGGAGACGGGAGTCTCACTCTGTTGCTCCCAGGCTGGAGTGCAGTGGTGTGATCTTGGCTCACCGCAACCTCTGCCTCCCGGGTTCAAACGATTCTCTTGCCTCAGCCTCCAGAGTAGCTGGGATTACAGGCATGCGCCACCATGCGCGGCTGATGTTTGTATTTTTAGTAGAGTTGGGGTTTCACTATGTTGGCCAGGCTGGTCTCAAATTCCTGACCTCGTGATCTGCCTGCCTTGGCCTCCCAAGGTGCTGGGATTATAGGCGTGAGCCATCGCACCCAGCCAGCTCGATTTAAAAAAAAAAAACTCCACATGGAATTTGGAATGAAATCTCCTAGTTTTTAAATTAAATAAAAAGACTTTTAAGCATTGTGTGGGTTGAATGAACACATCTGCCAGTGACCTTCCCCCGATTCCCAGTGTGTGAAGCCCCTGGCCCCCAGTGCAAGCCCTCAGTAACCTCCCTCATCTCTGCACGTTCACAGGTGTTGGGGAGCCAGAGGAGGGCACCAGTCTGCCCTCCACCACTGCCTGGCGGGGAAAGGAGAGCTGACAAAAATTACAGGAAGCCAGTTCTGTCCATGGTGACATATGAGGCACGGATTTATCGGTTCTGCAACAAGGGAACCATAGCAGTTCTAAACTCTAGGTGGAAAATAAATACGCATCCTTCCCTGCCATCAGCCAGCCATTGTTCAGCCACACCAGCGCCTGTTCTGCTTGCCCACCTGGGTTCCTCAGCTGTCGAGCCCCCAGGCTCCCAGGCATTCAGGCACTTCTCTCAAGCTCCCTGGGCTCAGGGCTCGCCCCCTTTCCTGAAGCCCTACGGCTGTGCTAAGACCTTCTCCTCTCCTAGAACAGGAAACAGGTGGTGCTTTGGTGGGCCTGTACAGTGTTGTAAAAATCAAGAAAGGTCACCTAAAAATCTGAATTTGGGGTCTGTCTTATAGAAAACTATAAGATCTAACACAACCAATTTCATTTCCCATTGTTCTGTGCCCCTTTCTTCTGTAATCACCTCGTCTTCCCCCATCTCGACTGCACACACCCCACCCCATTTTCCTGGACCAGTAGCTTCGAGATGTTCTGAAAGTTGGATTTGTAACATAGCCCAGTAAACAGACACAAACATCTGAAACAACTCTCCTGATACCATATTCAGCTTCACCATGTGTGACCCACTCTGAGATTTTCCAATCCATTCCGTTTTGTTCTATTCTATTCTATTGTATTCTTTTTTTTTTTTTTCCAATGGAGTCTTGCTGTGTCGCTCAGGCTGGAGTGTAGTGGCGCAATCTCAGCTCACTGCAATCTCCACCTCCCAAGTTTGAGCGATTTTCCCATCTCAGCCTCCCGAGTAGCGCACCACCATGCCCAGCTAATTTTTGTGGGTTTTTTGTTTGTTTTTTGTTTTTTTGAGATGGAGCCTTGCTCTGATGCCCAGGCTGGAGTGCAGTGGCACAATCGCAGCTCACTGCAACCTCCGCCTCCCAGGTTCAAGCAATTCTCCTACCTCAGCCTCCTGAGTAGCTGGGATTACAGGCACCCACCAACATGCCTGGCTAATTTTTGTATTTTTAGTAGAGACACGGTTTCACCATGTTGGCCAGGCTGGTCTCAAACTCCTGACCACAGGTGATCTGCCCACCTCAGCCTCCCAAAGTGCTGGGATTACAGGCGTGAGCCACCGCACCCAGCCTGTTCCATTCCATTCCATTCCATTCTGTTTTTTTAAAATGCCATTTTGGATCCACAACATTGATTTCACAAACCACTATCGGGTCAGATGCCCCAGGACAAAAACACTGCCCTTGTCATCACCTATCACTGCCCAGTCCATAATCCAGCTACAGAACCTGCCACTCTGCCCTCAGTTGTATCTGTGTAGCTCCCTTCCTCATGAATCCCAGATCCAGTGGCTTACGGGGCCTGAACCCACAGCTCCTGGCACCTCCCTCTCCTCCTGTCCCTACTGCCTCCTTCCATGCTGGAGCCCCGTCTACCTGGCTCACTCCTCTCTCACACACCCTCAGCCAAATCACATGCTTAGCCAACTCAACTCCATTCTCAACTCTGTGGCCATAGTGACCGTTTGGAAAGTCAGCGCCTGTCATTCATAGCCTGCCAATGGCTCTCACCTCATTCAGGTAAAAACCCAAGTCTCTACAACATTGACAAGGCCCTTCGTGATCTGGCCACACCTTCCCTTCCACTCTAACTTCAGTTTCCCACTTTCTTTTTTTTGTTTGTTTTTGAGACAGGGTCTCACTCTGTCGCCCAGGCTAGAGCGCAGTGCAATGGCATGATCACAGTTCACTGCAGCCTCTGCTTCCTGGGCTTAAGTGATCCTCCTACCTCAGCCTCCCAAGTAGCTGGGACTACAGGCATGTGCCACCAATCATGGCTATTTTTTGTATTTTTTTGTAGAGATGGGGTCTCGCCACGTTGCCCGGGCTAGTCTTGACTCCTGGGTTGATCCACCCGCCCCAGCCTCCCAAAGTGCTGGGATGACAGGCCTGAGTCACTGCACTTGGACTCCCCTTCCATTCCTTGCTCCTCTCACTCAGGAGGAAGCCTCCTCACTGCCCCCGGAACACAGCAGGCGAGGTGTGCCCTCTACCTGGAAGGCTCTCCCCGGGAGAGTGTGGCTTTCTCCTTGGCCTCATTAGAGGCTGGCTTTAAACACCCTCAACACACATCCCACCAGATACTCCTGTTGCCTCTCACAAGCCTCTTGTTCTCCACAGCATCTGCGGCCACCTGACATGCCGTGTAGTTCCTTGTTATTTGGGTTTACCTGGTGCTCTCGATTAATCTGTGAGACTCATGGGGGTCGGGACTCTGTGATTTTGTTCACAAGGATGTTCATGGTTAATAATTGTTGAAGATGAGTGATGGGTTCACAGAAGATCTTTATACTGGTCACTCTACTTTTGGGTATGTTTGAAATTTTCCGTGACGAAAAGCTATCTTTAAAAGACTAATGGGCTGGGCGCGGTGGCTCACACCTGTAATCCCAGCACTTTGGGAGGCCAAGGCAGGCAGATCACTTGAGCTCAGGAGTTTGAGACCAGCCTGGTCAATGTGGTGAAACCCTGTCTCCACACAAAACACAAAAATTAGCTGGGTGTGGTGGCACACACCTGTAGCCCCAGCTACTCAGGATGCTGAGGCTGGAGAATCACTTGAGCCCAGAAAGCAGAGGTTGAAGTGAACCAAGATTGCGCCACTGAGCCCCAGCATAGGCAACCGAGTAAAATCCTGTTTCAGAAAAAAATTAAAATAAAAAAATAAAAAGTCTATTGAAGGAATGAACAAATCCATGAAACCATGGCATTTCTTCTTGAACTAACCTTTCCTGTATCTTGCGGAGCTGGCTGCAACATCACTGAACAGGGCAAGTAGTCAGGAAACTGTGGAAAGAAACAAATGAAAAATCATTTATTTCAGAAGGGGCTGTTCCATAGGTAATATATAATCATGTAAAAATCAGAAAATAAAGATGATAAGCAAGAAAAAAACATTCACCTATACTCCTGACACCCAAATACATGTTGCTAACATAACCTTCCCAAAATTTCCTGCCTGTACACATAAATATGTATGTGTTGTCTTGAGATGGAGTCTTTCTCTGTCGCCCAGGCTGGAGTGCAGTGGCATGATCTTGGCTCACTGCAACCTCTGTCTCTCGGGTTCAAGCAATTCTCAGGCCTCAGCCTCCTGAGTAACTAGGATTACAGGCACACACCACCATGCCTGGCTAATTTTTGTATTTTTGCTACAGATGGGGTTTCACCATGTTGCCCAGGCTGGTCTCAAACTCCTGATCTTAAGTAATTCACCCACCTTGGCCTCCCAAAGTGCTGGCATTATAGGTGTGAGTCACCACACCTGGCCACGCCTAAATATGTGTATGTGAGAAGACGTTTTACAGAAATGGGACAAAGTACTGATCATGTTCTGTAGTCTGTTTACTCACTTCATTAATCCTAGTCCTTTTCAGAAAGGATTGTGACCATTTTCCCACATCATAAAATATGGTTCTGAATCATCTGCTTTAGGGCTCTAGAATATACATTTAACGTAGCCAGTCCCCTTTGCTGGCTACTGAAGTGGTAGGTCTTTACTTTTTGTGCATTATAAACAATGCTGCTAATAAATCAGTTTTAGCCAATTAATTATATAAGCTTTTCATGCTAGAAGAGAACCACATTTTTTTTTTTTTTTTTTGATTTTGAGATGGAGTCTCACTCTGTCACCCAGGCTGGAGGGCAGTGGCACAATCTCGGCTCACTGCAAGCTCTGCCTCTCGGGTTCACACCATTCTCCTGCCTCAGCCTCCGGAGTAGCTGGGATTACAGGTGCCTGCCACCGCACCTGGCTTTTTTTTTGTTGTTTTTTTTTTGTATTTTTAGTAGAGATGGGGTTTCACCATGTTAGCCAGGATGGTCTCAATCTCCTGATCTCGGAGAAGCCCATTTTTAAAGGCTTTCAGTACATGTTGACATATTGTCTCTAAAAGGTTATGTCACTTCAAACTCCCAGCACAGGTACATGGGAGCACCCAGGACCATATAACTTTTTCATAAATGTGATTTTGTAAAACAATTGTGATAAACATAGAATAACATCAAATTTACCATTTAAGCTATTTTTATGGTTCATTGGCATGAAGTATATTCACAGTATTCTGCAGTCATCACCACTATCTATCACCAGAATGTTTTTCATCAGACCAATCTGAAGCTCTGTTCCCATTAAACCCAACTCCCCATCCTCCAACCCCCCAGCCCGTGGGAAGCACTACTGTGTCTCTGTTAGTATGAATCTGATTACTCCAGGTATCTCCTGTAAGTGAAACCATAGAGCGTTTGTCTTTTTGTGTCTGGCTCCTTTCATTTAGTATAATGTATTCAAGATGCATCCATGGTGTAGCACAGAACAGAATTTCATTCCTTTTTAAGGCTGAACCATGTAACTTTGGAAGTGTATATGCTCTTAAGACAAATAAACATGCTAATAAAGGGAATGGTAGCTTCCCCAACTGAGCTCACGCCCAAGACTTCAGGGAGTTTGCACACTGGCACCGTAGGTAGCCAGGTCTCAATGGATGAGAGACGGGCCCCCAGGAAGATGAAGATATCTCCTGTGATCCCCCAATCTGCAGGCAAGGGAAAAGATGACATCTTACTTCCCTAAGCTCTCCCGTCCTGTAGGGAACCCTTTCCTGCTCAGAACTCCCCAGGGCCGAGGGGCACTTCTGTGAGCTTTCTTTTTCGAGCTTAGCAAGCAAAGGAATAACACGTGCTCATGTAATTAGGGGGTCGGGTGAAGGGAAATATGTAAACGGTAGGTTGAAAGGGTGTCTTCAAAGGCTGAGAGGCTATTTTCAAAGACTTAAAAAAAGACAATCACAGACCATGCAATCTAGAATTTCTTTCAAGGGTGCAATTTCCAGGCCCGCGGATGTGAAGTTCTTCCTCTGTCCCCTTCCCTTTGCCCCCACCCACATGATAAGGTGCTGCGGGTGAAGGAAGCAGGGCTGGCTGGAGGAGTCACCCACCGTCAGCAGAAAGGGGTATGTGTTGCTCCCCAGCTTTTTGAGCAGGCTCTCTTGCAGCTTTGTGGGGGTGCTCGCAGCCCCCACAGGAGGGTACACCTGGACCCGGGAGAAGTACAGGTCCCTGCGGAAGGCCAGGCCGATCACGTCAATGTCCTCTTGGCCATAGCGGAAGGCGCAGGTCAGAGTGACATATACTGCAAAGGAGATGAAGGCAGGGTTGGACTTGGCACTCGGCCTGGCACCCACCACCCCTGATGGAGTGGGCAGTGGGCACGGGTTTTCAACTTTTAGCATCTGGAAAGGATGCGGGTTGGGACTGGAGAGAACCCTGCCACCCAGCTACTCCACACCGCTCTGGAGAATCAGCCCCTTCGTGAGGGTTCACCACTCTAACGGGAGATCCTGGCATCTCCCTCCCAATTGTGTCATGTTGTCACAATGGTAGGAATCTGCAGACAGAGGACCCAGTCCCCTCCATCCTGCCCGCCCCCTTCATTCCCTAGCTCCGTGGCCTCAGAAGCTTTGAGACAGTGCTGGCTGCTCAGGTTCTGGCGGGCAGGATGTCTGGACGAATGAAGGAAGAAGGTAAGATGCAGAGGGAAACAGTGCTGGGCAGCCAAGCAGATGTGGGCCGGAGTCAATCGTGGGCTGAGTGAGGAGCCAGAAGGCTCACAGGCCACATGGGGAGGCGAAGTCCAACTTGAGAAGGCTCGAGTTCCAGCCTCCTTTTCACACTGCTCTGAAACATACTGAGCGTGCTCCAAACCCCCACTTCTGAAAATTCCACTTGTTGAACAGACTTAAAGTACGCGCCCGGTGGACTAAAAGAATTGTATGGAAGTTCACTACGCCTTCTAAAAAAGACACGAAGCATGTATCTCTCAAATATAAAGCGTGTCTGAGGTGGCCCCTCCAAGTGCTGGCAGCTGTTGGTTGAGAATTTTGCCTGTCAGCCTTAAAGGTAACTGCCCCTCGCTGCTGACTCAGAAGAAATGGTGGCCACTCACTCGCCCCTCATTCAAGGTCAGGACTAAGAAGGTGCCCAGAGACCACCCGGTTTGACAGCTGTCCTGTGCTGTGGCTTTCCCTGAGAACAGGCGCCCTTCTCTGGTCAAGGACATGGGCTTTTGGATGTGTCCTGGTCCAGAGAGGAGCAGGGCACCCAGATGTCTCCTGGTCCAGAGAGGAGCACGGCATCCAGGAGGAAGGTGGAGAGGACAGAGGGGGCTGTTTGGGGCCCCATTTCAGCCATGCCCCTCTCGATGCTGATGGCCCCACAGCTGACATATTCCAGTGGCACATCCAGGGTTCTCAATAATTCCTTGATGTTGCCAGTAGCAACACTCAAAAAGGCATATTTAGAATGGAACTGAGTCAGTGACATTATCACAAGGATAGCTGGAATCTGTTCTAATTTGGTTTACGCAACTGTTATTAGTAACAAATTACTTACCACACACATCAAAACTGCCAGAAATCATCAAGGGCACCGTGACACTGGTTCAGAACCATCAAAGCAAGCGCCATCATAAATTCCGGGTCTTACTCCCCCTGTCTCCCAGCAGGCATCATTTGCCCCTTTCTGGTGTTGGTTGAGAATTTTGCCCGTCAGCCCCAACAGTAACTGCCCCTCGCCACTGACTCGGAAGAAACACTGTCCACTCACTCTGCCCTCATTCATTCAAGGTCTGGTGTCCTCCTGAGTCCCAGGCACCCCAGGTGCCCTCCTGAGTTTGCCCCTAGCACAGAAGTACACGATACAGGGGCTAGCACACATGGATGGTGGCCACAGACCTGGGCTCCATCTACCATCTACTTATCTGCCACCCTGGACAATGACTTTGCTGAGCGAGTGAGCTCTGGCATCAACGGGACCTATGTCACGTGAATTAGGTACGGGAGTGTGGGTCAACCGGCCTGGCACTGGTTCCATGTGCAAGAGCGCTGCCTCTGCCTTCCTGTCTCTCCTTCCACATAAATGCCCCTTCCCAGAGCCGCCCAGAGAGCAGCCCACTCCACCCAGAAACCAGCCTGAGACAAGGGGCTTCATCTCACCTTTCTTTCCCTTCACGAGATCAGGATCAACCAACACGACACCATCTAAGGCAAAATGGGGAGAGAGTAGTGAGGGTGGAGAAGATCAAAGAAACCAGACACCTACTTTAAAAACTATGTATGTTTTTAATTGCACATGTAATCCATGTTCATTATAAGAAAGAAAGAAAAGTTAAGCAAATGGCAAAAAGTCATCCAAATTCCTACTACCTAAAAATACCTATTGTGAAGCTCTCGGTGCAGACTTTTATTTTATTTTTCCAGGCCAGGTGTGGTGGCTCACATCTGTAATCCCAGCACTTTGGGAGGCCGAGGCAGGGGGACTGCTCGAGCCTAGGAGTTTGAGAGCAGCCTGAGCAACACAGTGAGATCCTTGTCTCTACAAAAAGCTTTTTAAAAAATTAGCAGCGGCCTGGGTAACAAAATGAGATCCTGTCTCTACATAAAATTTAAAAAGTTAGCTGGGTGTGGTGGTGCATGCCTGTAGTCCCAACTACTCAGGAGGCTGAGGCAGGAGGATCCCTTGAGTCTGGGATGTCAAGTCTGCAGTGAGCCATGATCATGCCACTGGACTCCAGCCTGGGTAATAGAACCAGACCTTTTCTCAAAACATACAAAAAAGAAAAAAGAAAAAAAGTTAGCAGGGCATGGGCCAGGCATGGTGGTGCCTGCCTGTGGTCTCAGCTACGTGAGAGGCGGAGGTAGGGGGATTTCTTGAACCTGGGAGGTTGAGGCTGCAGTGAGCTGTGACCATGCCACTGCACTCCATCCTGGGTGACAGTGAGACACTGCCCCACACCCCCGCCCAAAAAAAATTTTTCCAGATATATATCACTTAATTATATGAATGCTTTTACTAAGAAAAAAAGAGATCCTATTGTACTTACTGTTCAGCTAACTGCTTTCCTCACTCAATTATACATTGCAAACATCTATTCATACTCACATACATACATCTATACACACATGTATATATATACACACACACATATAGAGAAAACATGTGCTAAGCATTTTAATAGCTACATATTACTCCATTGAATGGATGTACCATAAATTATTTAATCACTTCCTATTGTTAGGGCATCTAGGTTTTTTTCAGTTTTTCCCATTGTAATTAATATTGTGATGAACATCCTTATACATACATCTTTATATCTCTCCATGACTTTTTAAAAATAAATTATAGAATTGGATTTGGCTTTTGATAACATGCTGTCAAATAACCTTCCAGAAAGTGTTTTGCCAAGGCACATTTTCATATCCAGTGTCTGAAACTGCCAGTTTTTCTACACTCTTTAAAAAACGTTTTGTGTTGAAATGATTATAGATTCACAGGAAGTTGCAAAGATAGTACAGAGACGTCCCTCGTATCCTTCATCCAGTTTCTCCCAATGGTTCCATCTGCCATAATTACAGTACAATATCAAAACTAGGAAGCTGACGTGGGACGTTCTGAGAAACATTTTGGTTCTTTCCGGTTTGGAGCTACCACAAATAAAACTGCTGCGAACAATCATGTATAGGTTTTTGTGAGGACACAAGTTTTCATTTCTCTGAGATAAGTGCCCAGGATGCAACTGTTGGATCATATGGTAAGTACATATTTCGTGTTTTAAGAAACTGCTGCTGGGCGCAGTGGCTCGCACCTGTAATCTCAGCACTCTGGGAGGCTGAGGCAGGCAGATCACTTGAGCTCAGGAGTTCGAGACCAGTCTGGGTAACATGGCAAAACTCTATCTTGACAAAAAATACAAAAATTAGCGGGGCATGGTGGCACATGCCTGTAGTCTCAGCTACTTGGGAGGCTGAGGACAGAGGATCGCTTGAGCCCGGGAGGTGGAGGTTGCAGTGAGCCAAGATCTCGCCACCACATTGAAAGTAATGGCAAAAAACTGCAATTACTTTTGCACTAACCTAAAATATTTTAGCCATTTTGGGAGGCATATAATACACTCTCACTGTAGCTTTAATCTGTATTTCCCTGATGGCTAATGATGCCAAAGATGTTTTCACGTGCTTGCTTGTCTTCGTGTATCTTCTTTGATGAAATGTCTCTTCCTGTCTTTCCACTGTTTTCTCATAGGATCTTGCTTTTTGTACTGCTGAGTTCTGAGCGTTCTTCATACATTCCAGACATGAGTCCTTTGTCTCTTCACACTCTTTAAAATTCTTTCCAGCCAGACACAGGTGGTTCAAGCCTATAATCCCAGCACTTTGGGAGGCCGAGGCGGGTGGATTAACTGAGGTCAGGAGTTTGAGACCAGCCTGACCAACATGGTGAAACCCCATCTCTATTAAAAATACAAAATTAGCTAGGCGTGGTGATGCATGCCTGTAATCCCAGCTACTTGGGAGGCTGAGGCAGGAGAATCACTTGAACCTGGGAGGCAGAGGTTGCAGTGAGCTGAGATCGTGCCACTGCACTCCAGCCTGGCCAACAAGAACGAAACTCCATCTCAAAAAAATAAAAATAAATGTAAATAAAATTGTTCCCACTCAGCCAGTGGAAACTCACTGATGTTTTAATTTGCATTTCTTTAATTAGATTATTAGCAAGGCTGATTTTTGAAAATACAAAGTGAGCAGTTATCTGTGACTTAAAGGAAAACCAGCATCACAATTTTCTCCAAGCAACTTACCCACAGGCTGGACTTGGCTGACATGGTCTATGTAGTCTCTCTTCCCCAGGTAGATGGTCACCTGCAAGACAAGCGGGTGTCGGTCTAAGGGCCAAAGAATGCTAAGCTAAGGCATCCACGATAAAAACCAGCTGCAGCCCGGGCGCGGTGGCTCACGCCTGTAATCTCAGCACTTTGGGAGGCCAAGGCGGGCGGATCACAAGGTCAGGAGTTTGAACCTGGACAATACGGTGAAACCCTGTCTCTACTTAAAAAAAAAAATACAAAAATTAGCTGGGCATGGTGGCATGCGCCTGTAGTCCTAGCTACTCAGGAGGCTGAGGCAGGAGAATCGCTTGAACCCAGGAGGCAGAGGTTGCAGTGAGCCAAGAGCGTGCCACTGCACTCCAGCCTGGGCAACAGAGTAAGACTCAGTCTCAAAAAAGAAAAAAAAAGAAAAAAGAAAAATATGCAAATGAGATGTTTGCCATTCATTTGCATATTGCATCTTTTATTTCCAGTTGTGGAATGAAAGGTATCCCCTCTTTGTTACAAGAACTTCTGGACAGGCCGGGTGTGGTGGCTCACCCCTGTAATCCCAGCACTTTGGGAGGCTGAGGCGGGTGGATCACCTGAGGTCAGGAGTTTGAGACCAGCCTGGCCAACATGACGAAACCCCGTCTCTACTAAAAACACAAAAATTAGCTGGGCATGATAGTGTGTGCCTGTCATCCCAGCTACCTGAAAGACTGAGGCAGGAGAATTTCTTGAGCCTGGGAAGTGGAAGTTGCAGTGAGCAGAGACAGTGCCACTGCACTTCAGCCTGGGTGACAGAGCGAGACTCTGTCTCAAAAACAAACAAAAAAGAACTTCTGGACAAAGCAAAGAGGTGGGAGTTCTGGAGAAGCCCCTGAAATCCTACCAGGTGAACTTCTGCACAGGTAGACCTGAAGCCGTACCCCGAGGGAGCTGGGTGGAGAGGGGATGGCCATCATCTGGGCCCACAGGCCCTGCCCCTGTCCTGCCCCTGGCAGCAAAGGTCTCCACCCACTCATGGGAGAGCAGGGTTGGGTTCCCCAGCCCTCAGCACTTTAACCCATAGGACTGTGCCTTGGTGGTGGTAACCCGGAGTCTCTGCATGTCTTTCAGCATCTACTGCACAGTCCTGGGCACACAGGGATTCAGTGTTTGCCAAGTGCAGCCACGAATGAGAGCACACTCTTTCACTGAGTGGCCCCCCGGCTGGCCCCCTTCTTCAAATGAATATTTGGTATTCCAGGAACGGCCTGAATCATTTTTGTTGGCATTAAGTCCTGTCCTATACGCTCCCCTTCCACCCATATCAGATGTCCCGAAGTGTGGCCCTGTGTCCTCTAAGTTACTTGCATGATTGATGCTGAAGTGACTTCAAGCAAATACCACTAGAACCCTGGTTTACAGAGAAGATTCCGCAGGAAACCTTTTACTCCCAGCGCTAAGCATATTTGGGAGGCCTCACTAGCCTGGGTGGTGTGGAAGCCTGGCATCTGAGAGGAGCGGGCTGACCAGGACTCACACTGCTACCTGCTGGTTCCTGCAGTGAGTCCCAGCTTCCTAAACACTGTGGGTGTATTAGCCTTGCCCTCAAGATCCCCCCTGGGAGGCTGACCAGGGTGTGTTACCCTAGTAGATTCCCTGGTCTTCTGGCTTCTGGGCAAGGTGGACCAGATGTTTGTCCCCACCTTGCCTGCATGGTGGCCGGGTCTGGGGCTGGCACAGCCCCCTAGTGGGGATCACAGTTCCTGGCAGGTAGCCCTGAGGGCCTCGGGGTTCTGAGACTTGTGTGATCCCTTAGCCCCAGGGAGGTGCCAGCGCCCAGCTGCTCGTCACTGCCATGTGGCGCACTGAGCTCTTTCTTGTAATTTTTTTTTTTTTTTTTTTTTTTTGAGACAAGGTCTCATTCTGTCGCCCAGGCCGGAGTGCAGTGGTACTATCTCAGCTCACTGTAACCTCTGCTTCCCGGGATCAAGTGATCCTCTGACTTCAGCCTCCCAGGTAGCTGGGACTGCAATTGCACGCCACCATGCCCAGCTAATTTTTTATATTTTTTTTGTAGAGACGGGGTCTCGCCATGTTGCCCAGGCTGGTCTCAAACTCCTGGGCTCAAGCAATCCACCCACCTCGGCCTTCCAAAGTGCTGGGATTACAGGCATGAGCCACCACTGTACCTGGCTATTTCTTGTGATTTCTTTCACACCTGCCTACACCTTAGCAAACAGCCCCTTTTAAAAACTCTCCTCTGGCCAGGTACAGTGGCTCATGCCTATAATTCCAGCACTGAGAGACCGAGGTGGGAAGGATCGCCTGAAGTCAGGAGTTCAAGCCTGGGTAACAAAGTAATACGCCCTCCTCTGCCCCTTGCCATCTCTCAAAAAAAAAAAAAAAAAAGATTAGCCTGGCAAGGTGGTGCCTGCTTATAGTCTCAACTACTTGGGAGGCTGAGGAAGGAGGATCACTTGAGCCTAGGAGGTTGAGGCTGCAGTGAGCTATGATCATACCATTGTACTCCAACCCTGCTCTCCCACAAAGGGGGTAAAGAGATCTTCACTGGTCTCTAGAGTAAGACCCTGTCTCTAAAAAAAAAAAAAAAATTCTCCTCAAATCAAGCTATTTGGAGGCTGCCTTGCAGGAATGGTAACTATTACATCGCGCTTCAGCTGCTCAGTGTCTAGTGGCTGCTCACTCCTTCCCTGTGGAATAAACTCCAGGGCCTTGTGCGTGGCCACCCTGAGAGTGTCCCCTCTAACAGCTCCACTCTTCCCCGGGCTCTGGTCACAGCGGCTCTGCCACAGCTCCCCCAAACACCACAGATTTGTGCCTCTGTTCCTATTGTTTCCACTCTAAGGAAAGCCCTTCTGCTGCCCTTTCACCTGGGAGCAATCCTATCCACGCTTCAGGGGACACCTCAGGGTCCCCATCTTTCCCTTTGCCCAGCACCCCCTGACCTTTGGTGCCCCGGGAGCATGTGGCCTGTGATTCCACCTCAGCGTGCAGCACACTGTGTTCTGGGTGTTCTTGCAGGAGCCTGTCTCCTCTGCTAGACTTCGCCTGTCAATTAGGCAAGTGCTGCTTTCATTCATCCCATACACGGCTATAGAGGCCCCAGCAGCTGCTGGCTACTGAAAATAAAAACTGAAGAAGACATCCCCTTGGTCCCCAAGGTCCCTGCTCTTTGGTTGGGAGTGAACTGGCAATTGTGCCCCTGGAATAAATGCCAGGGCAAAGGCTGGTGGGGAGGAAGCCCGAGGGGAGGGCAGTGAGGAGGGAAGGAGAGAGGGAAGCCTCTTGCTTTCAGAGGAGGCTCTATCCAGTGGACAGATGGCATAGCCAGGGGACAGGGGACGGTGAGGGCATGCTGTCTGAGCAAAATGTATACAAAGCCCAGGGCCCTGAGAATGCTTCTGGAACTGCCAATGGCTTCGCCTGCAGGTGAATGGCCACCGAATGGGGATGCAGGCTGCTGCTGAAATGGTCTCATAGGACGTGGCCCTAAAGAACCTCAGAAGACGTTGAAGCATTTTAAGCAGGATGAAAGACTTGAATTAAACAGTATTTAGAGAAGCTAAATAGAGAAATAGCTTTTGGAAGAATTAAATAGCATTTAGAGTGCTTATCATGTATCAAGGGCCAAGCTAAGCACTTTGACCACATGGTTTCACTTAATCCTCACAGCAACTCAATGAGATAGGAATGGAGCCCATTTTATAGAAGGGAGCACTGAGATTTAGCTCATATCAGCAGCAAAGTGGAGAATGGATTGGCAAGGGGAGGGCCGGTTAGGCAGCCTGACTGTGGTGCAGATGAGGGGCACTGGAGAGTGGTTGGGAGAGAAGAGGGTAGGTGAAGAGAGGACATGTTTCTTCTCTTTCAAAAGGTTTGGTTGCAAGGGAAGAAGAACTAGAAAGGATAGGGTCGAGGGTAGTTGGTGGTTGTTTTGAGGTGCATAAGATCAGTACTTATTTATTTATTTGTTTTGTTTTGTTTTTTGAGACAGAGTTTCGCTCTTGTTGCCCAGGCTGAAGTGCAATGGCGCGATCTCGGCTCACTGCAACCTCTGCCTCCCAGGTTCAAGCAATTCTCCTGCCTCAGCCTCCCGAGTAGCTGGGATTACAGGCATGCGCCACCACGCCCAGCTAATTTTTGTACTTTTAGTAGAGACGGGGTTTCTCCACGTTGGCCAGGCTGGTCTCGAACTCTTGGTCTCAGGCCATCCACCCGCCTCAGCCTCCCAAAATGCACTGCGCCCGGCTGGTACTTCTTTTCATGCTCAGACGAAGTACTAGCAAAAAGGAGAGGCTGCAGACACAAGCAGACCAATGGCTGAGGCCCCTGAGGAGGTGGCCAACCATGAAACCCAGGGTGTAGCCAACCTTCAGGGGGCCATCCAACAGCCACACACCCCTTCTTCTGGATAAAAGCTGCAAACTGTGTTCAGGGACCACCATCTTCCACCAGGTGGTGTCCTCAGAGGAGGCCAGCTCCAGGGAACGATTCTTGATTGGCCTGATTCACTGTGATCATCTAATTCTTCTGGCTTGGGATTGGTTTACGGTGGGCATGTGACCCAGTTTTGGCCAATGAGATATGGGAGAAGAGGCTTGGGAAAGATTTCCTGACCCTTACAAGAGACCCCAGGAAACCATAGCCTCTTCCTTCTGGATGTTGTCAAGTGTGGGTGAGACGCCGGGAGCGGGGGCATTTAGCCACCTGCTGGAGGATGAAGGTCAAAGAAGAGGGCAGCGTCCGGAGAATTACAGAGAAATGGGCTCAAAGCCCTGGCACCTCATGCCTGGGGCCACACAGACGTCGCTGGCAAAATGATCTGAATACATGAGACAGGAATTGAATTCTCTTTTCCCCAATGTGATGACTTATCCACAAAAACCCTCTACATTTCTGGGTGGAAAGGACATCTATCTAGGAGCGAGGGGAAAACAATGTGGGACACCAACACGAGTGGTTTCCTCTTTAGCTAGAAGTTGAGATAAAATGGACTGGAAAGATGCAACTTGAGAAAGAGCTTGGAGAATGAAAGAATCAGAGTGCTTGATTAAAATGACGGAGTTCCTTAGCTAGGAAAGGAGAAGGCGGGAAGCACACAGGCAAAGCCGGGTCTCCTGGGTGGCACAGTAAGGATGGGGAGGTTCTTTGGCCCCCATACGGGTTTCAGAAGTCAGCCACAATGGGCCAGGCGCGGTGGCTCACACCTGTAATCTCAGCACTTTGGGAGGCCAAGATCGGGGGATCGCCTGAGGTCAGGAGTTCAAGACCAGCCTGGCCAACATGGTGAAACCCCATCTCTACTAAAAATACAAGAAATAGCCAGGCGTGGTGGCGGGTGCCTGTAGTCCCAGTTACTAGGGAGGCTGAGGCAAAAGAATTGCTTGAACCCAGGAGGCAGAAGTTGCAGTGAGCCGAGATCACGCCACTGCCCTCCAGCCTGGGTGACAGAATGAGACTCCGTCTCAAAAAACAAAACAAAACAAAACAAAACAAAAACAGAATGATGGCGAGCTACCCTGTCCAGTAGGGTAGCCACTGCTTAAGGTGGTTCCCGGACACCTGAAATATGGCCATTCCAAATTGACATGTTCTGTAAATGTAAAATACACACCAGATTTCAATAATTCTTATATTATTTATGAATTGAACGGACAGTTTTTTGGATATAATGGGTTAAAATAAAATACAGCATCAAAATGAATTTCACCTGTTTCTTATTACTTTTTAAATGCGGCTACTAGAAAGTTTAAAATTACATGTGTGGCTTGCACTGGATGGCGCTGAGCTGGAGTTTTGGCTCATAAGAAGATGTTGAGTGGAGCTAACCACAGACGCTGGACGGTGGACCCTCCCCGATGCCAGGAAGTTCATGGACACACCTGGAGCATCTAACGTGCTTCTGGAGAGTGGTGGAAAGGGGGCAGACTGGGGCCCTGCAGGCCCAGATGAGGCTTGAGAGTCCCGTGGTGGGGTAGGTGCACAGAGAAGGAGTCACATTGATCACTCTCTGGGTTTTACCCAGGCAGGTGACACAAGAGATAGACAAAAGGCCGAGGGAATCACAGGTAACACTGACAAAACACTGTTTAAATAACAGTGTTTAAATAGTAGGTCAAGGGTTCAAGGCCGGCTAGGAAAAGAAGCAGAGGTGGGGGAGTCAGTGTGGGGATTGAGGGATTGGGAGAAAACTGAGGGTCATAGGACTAAAGTCTTGCTGAGATTGAAGAGAACCTGTATTTCTGCAGTTCATTCACTCATTTATATCTCAGTGATCATCCATCTTAGACAGAGATGAAAATAGACACAAAGCTTCCCTGGCCCTCACAGGGTTTGTTTGTTTTTTATTTGAGACAGAGTCCCCCTCTGTTACCCAGGCTAGAGTGCAGTGGCATGATCTGGGCTCACTGCAACCTCTGCCTCCTGGGTTCAAGTGATTCTTGTGCCTCAGCCTCCCAAGCCTGGGATTACAGGTGCCTGCTACCATACTCAGCTAATTGTTTTATTTTCAGTAGAGATGGGTTTTGCCATGTTGGCCAGGCTGGTCTCGAACTCCTGGCCTCAAGTTATCCCACTTCAGCTCCCAAAGTGCTGGGATTACAGGCATGAGCCACGTGCCCTGGTCCTCAAAGAGTTTTGATGTTGCTCGTGACTACACTGTTACTTGAAAAAGCTCCATTTTTAAAAAACAATAATTTCTATCAAACCACTCACTGCTGCACCACTCACCGATTTGTCCCGGGAGATCTTCTTGAAGATAACATGGTTCGGTTCGGACTTGCTGGTCTTCCCGCTGGCTGCCATGTTACCTGTCCCTGGCAACTTCTACCACCTTGGGGTGTTGGTCAGGCGTTAGAGGACTGGAGAAAGGTAAGACAATCCTAAATATCAAGTCAAGAACATCCTGGGTATGAAATCTACTCACGAGATGCTGTGCACCCTCACCATTCCCTTCTACCAGCTTCAAAATCCGAGTTTCACTGATGAGTCTTTGCTTAGTTTGTATTTTACTGCAGCATGATTTGGGGTGTTTTCAATATTTTTATTTTTCTTGGTAAGCTTCAGACATTTCTCAGTACACCTCACCAGGGAGTCTAGCTAGATTCCAGTGAGGTTTTACTTTCTGGCTAACCTTTGGTGTTATCACACTTAGCCAGGTGGAATTTAAAGTTCTATCGTGACTGTGTCTAATGGCAAATAAATCAAAAAAGTTCCTGAAAACCACAACATAACTACTTCATAAAGACTGTTTTCAAGAATATATTAATGGCCGGGTACTGTGGCTCACACCTGTAATCTCAACACTTTGGGAGGCTGAACTGAAAGGATCATTTGAAGCCAGGAGCTGGAGACTGGCCTGGGGGACATAGCAAGATCCTATCAATTTTTTTTTTTAAAGAATATATTAAAATCCCAAAAGTTCTATTCAGCAATTCCTACTAAGAGATAGCCACTCTGTATTACAATTAAGAGGCCATCTTAGTGGTCTGGGATTAAACATACTCTGAGGTTTTTTTTTAAGATATAGGATCTCGTTCTGTTGCCCAGGCTGGAGGGCAGTATCACAATCACAGCTCACCGTAACCTCGAACTCCTGGGCTCGTGATCCTCCTGCCTCAGCCTGCCGAGTCACTACGACTACAGGTGTGTGACACCACGTCTAGCTCATTTATTTTTATTTTATTTTATTTTTTTTGTAGAGACTGGGTCTGACTGTATTGCTCAGGTTGGTCTTGAATTCCTGGCTTCAAGTGATCCTCCAGCCTCAGCCTCCTGAGTTGCTGGGACTACAGGCATGAGCCATGGCACCCGGCTCACTCCGAGTCTCCTTAAATAGCAAAGTCTTATGGAAACCACACAGAAAAGGTGAAGGCGGGACCTACTGTCTGCATGAAAACGCCCATCCTGGCTCTTCCCCACACCTGCCCCAGGTTTCTGAGAAGGTTTTGGCCTGTGGTGGTCACATACCTTGTGATTTCTCACCAACCAGGTGGGAAGGGCCGGGTGGCAAGGAGAGGGTCTCTATGCTCTGAGACGATGAACAGCCAGCCCCTGTTCTGAGCAAGCTGGTGCCGTCTCACCAGCTGAGCCTGCAGAGGCACCGCTGAGGCCCCTGGCCTGTGTATGTGGGGAATTTGTAGGGGATCTAGCGAGGATGCCCAGCGTCCAGGTCTCAATGTCTAAAAGCCAAATCCCACTTAAGGAGCAGAGTTGGATTAGTGCTGAGACAGTGAACTGGTAGTTTCAGCAGTTCTAAGCATTAAGCAACACCCCCGCCCCGGTCTCCATACGGAGGGTCTCAGATGTATGAGTCACCCAGCTCACTTGGGGAACGTTGGTGGGAGGGCCAACAGCTAAATGAAAGCTACTTTTTCTTCTAAACCTCTTTGGATTCTGGAAATAGACTGATTATCCCTTCATTCCCGGGCATTGCCAGGACGGGAAGAGATTTGATTAAACTCAGCAGGTAGCTAATGCGACCTTGGGGGTGGGGACTAAACAAAAAGGTCAAGGAGAAATGTCAGCCTCCAGATGAACCTGGTGTTCATGCAAACCAAGCTGGATCTGTCCCTCTCCTCCACCCGCTCCTACTGACTGATGGCTTCAGGAGTCCTGTTGATCCCTTCACTGTCTCTGGAACCTGTCTGCCTCCTCCCATCCCCAGCACGGCCTTTGCTTCCCAGGACTGGCCTGACTACATCTATTTCTTTTCTTTTTTTGTGTTGTTTTGTTTTTTGTTTTGAGATGGAGTCTTGCTCTGTCTCCCAGGCTGGAATGCAGTGGCGCAGTCTCGGCTCACTGAAACTTCTGCCTCCCAGGTTCAAGTGATTCTCCTGCCTCAGCTTCCCGAGTAGCTGGGACTACAGGTGCCCGCCCACCACACTTGGCTAATTTTGTATTTTTAGTAGAGGCAGGGTTTCGCTATGTTGGCCAGGCTGGTCTCGAACTCCTGACCTCAGGTGATCCAACTGCCTCGGCCTCCCAAAGTGCTGGGATTACAGGCGTGAGTCACCACACCCAGCCGACTGTATTTATTTCAACCCTCCAAGCCCTTTTCCACACAGAGGCAGAGAGACCTTCTGAGCCTGGACCTGTCACCCCTTGCTTATAATCACCCATTGCTCTTAGAATGCAGGCAAAAAGCTTGCAGCCTCTGGAACCTCCGCCTGCCTTTCCTTCCACGCCTTCTGCCACGCTTCCTCCTTCCCACTGTTCTTTTTGCCTGGAACAAGCCTCTCCTCTCTCCACTTTGTTGACTCTTCTTGGCCTTTCAGATTTTTGACCAGGAGTCGCTTCCTCAGGGGAGCTATCCCCAACCTCCAGGACCAGACTGGAGGAACACTTGCATTTCACTCTTTTTTATTTTTTTCTTTTGAGATACAGTCTCACTCTGTTGCCCGGGCTAGAGTGCAGTGGCACCATCTCGGCTCACTGCAGCATCTGCCTCCTGGATTCAAGCAATTCTCCTGCCTCAGCCTCCCGAGTAGTTGGGATTACAGTTGTGTACCAGTACGCCCAGCTAATTTTTGTATTTTTAATAGAGATGGGGTTTCGTCATGTTGGCCAGGTTGGTCTTGAACTCCTGGCCTCCTGAAGTGCTGGGATTATAGGCATGAGCTACCGTGCCTGGCTGCATTTCATTCTTGGTTGGGAATTATTCTACGGTCTCTCTTCCCTCACGGGAGTCTAGGCTCCATGAGGGCAGGGCCTAGGTCATTTCATTTCCCTCACTTTTGTCTTCACAGTGCCCAGAACAATGCCTGTTCCCAAGAACACTCAGGGACTGGATGGAGGGGACTCTGAGACCACTAACACACTTACATGGGGTACTGACTTGGGAATGAAACGAGTATACGCAGAAAGCTTGTTCCGACGTTTGGGGTATCAACATCCACTCAAACATTCCAATGGCTTCCCATCTAAGTCTGGACAATGCTTGCCAGGTCTGGCATGCTCTGGCCCCCCGTTACCTCTGACTTTATTTCTCACCACTCTCTCTCCCTTGTCCACTTCGCTCCAGAGTACTGAGTCTGTTTTCTTTTAGAGACAGGGTCTAGCTCTGTCACCCAGGCTGGAGTGCAGTGGTGCAATCACAGCTCACTGCAGCTTTGAACTCCCGGGCTCAAGCGCTCCTCCCACCTAAGCCTCCCAAGTAGCTAGGACTACAGGCGTATGCCAACACACCCAGCTAATTCTTTAAAATTTTGTAGAGATGGAGTCTTGCTATGTTGCCCAGGCTGGTGTCGAACTCCTGACCTCAACTGATCCGCTCACCTCAACCTTCTAAAGTGTTGGGGTTACAGACATGAGCCACCACCGCTGGCCTGCTTTTCTTTAAACCTCCATCTAGGCCTTTCCACTTGCCATTTCCTCTCCTGGAACATTCTTCCCGCAGCCGGTGACATGGCTCACTCCTTTAATTGCTTTGAGTCTTCACTTCAATGTCACCCTATCCTTAGCATATTCTTTTGTTGGCCTCACCATACCTGAACTGCAAAAACTATTTTAAAACACAAAGATTATTCATTGGTGTTAAAACCATCAGGTGAAGAGTTGATGGGAAAATGACTGTAGGACTGAAGTGATGCCACATGGATCATGCTGTCATCCCAAGGTGCATGGCAGATACCAGGGTCAATCTTCATATTGCCGGTGGTGTTAGCCACATGGGATGTGTCCCTTGGGGTTAACTTGAATCCATGATCCTTCAGACATCATTTCTAGTTTATTGGAAATACAAAGAATGAGCTACGTGACACAAGTGAACTGCCAGACAAATCCAACAAACAGTGCCATAGAAATGGGGTTTACTAGGTCAGGCATGGTGGCTCACGCCTGTAATCCCAGCACTTTGGGAGGCCGAGGCAGGTGGATCACGAGGTCAGGAGTTCAAGACCAGCCTGGCCAACATAGTGAAACCCGTCTCTACTAAAAATACAAAAATTAGCCAGGTGTGGTGGTGGGCGCCTGTAGTTCCAGCTACTTGGGAGGCTGAGGCAGAAGAATCGCTTGAACCCAGGAGGCGGAGGTTGCAGTGAGCCAAGATTATGCCACTGCATTCCAGCTTGGGTGACAGAGCGAGACTCTGCTCTGTCTCAAAAAAAAAAAAAAAAAATGGGGTTTACTATATTAAAAGATGCTGAGGCACTCGACACCCAGATGTCATGTGCAGCTCCAGACTGAATACACAACTGGCCAAAAAGGATGTGTAGGACATTTTGGGTTCATTGGGAAAATCTGACTGTGGTAAAATGCCTGGAGTAGAAAGGTGAGAGATTGTGACAGAACCAACAAGGTTGTAGAATGGTGCGTGTCGCACGTCCACGTTTTGAAAACACACAGAGGCTATGTATTTGTGTATATATACAGATATGTACATTTACAGAGCACTTTGAGAGGCCAAGGCAGGTGGATTATGTATTTGTGAATATATACATATATGTACATTTATTGAGCACTTTGAGAGGCCGAGGCAGGTGGATCGATTGAGCACAGGAGTTTGAGAACAGCCTGGCAACATAGTGAGACCCCATCTCTATAAAAAGTAAACAAAATTAGCCAGGCCTGGTGGTGTGTGTGCCAGTGGTCCCAGCTACTTGGGAGGCTTATGTCAGAGGACTGTTTGGGCCTGGGATGTTGAGGTTGTAGTGAGCCATGACCATGTCACTGTATTCCAGCCTGGGCAACAGAACGAGACCCTGTCTCAAAAAAAAAAAAAAAAAATGCTGTGCCGGGCACAGTGGCTCACACCTGTAATCCCAGCACTTTGGGAATCAGAGGCGGGCGGATCATTTGAGGTAAGGAGTTGGAGACCAGCCTGGCCAACATGGTGAAACCTCTTCTCTATAAAAAATACAAAAATTAGCTGGGTGTGGGGGTAGGCACCTTTAATCCTAGCTACTTGGGAGGCTGAGGCAAAGAATCACTTGAACCTGGGAGGTGGAGGTTGCACTGAGCCGAGACTGCACTCCAGCCTGGGTAACAGAGTGAGACTCTATCTCAAAAAAAACAAAAAACAAAAAACAAAAACAGACAAACAAGAAAAAACAAAAAACAAGTCATTCTTTTTCTTCTTCCCCTCTATCTTCATTGAGATATACATATAAAATGGGTGAATTTTGAAATAGAGATAGACATAGATGAGTGTAGGCAAATACATATAGAGGTAAAATGTATCTATTTAATAACTAACAAAATTCACCCATTTTGAGTGTACAGCTTGATGAGTTTTGGTCATCATATACATTGTGTAACCATCGCTGTGATCAATTCCACCACTCCCCAAAGTTCCCTGTACCCATTTCCATCAACAACTCCATCCACCCTCCTGCCCCAGGCAATCATAGATCTGCCTTCTGTCATTAGCTCTGCATATTCTACAATTTTATTATGAAATTTTAAAGCACAGAAAAGTTAGAAGAACAATACAATAGACACCCACATGGTCAACTTCAAGATTTGACAATTAACATTTTGCTGCCTGCACTCCTCTATATCTACCTGTTTTTTCCTTTTAACCATTTGAACGTACATGCAGACATCATGACACTTTACCCGTATCTCAGAATGCAGCTCCTAAGCATAAGGACAAAAATGTCCATTCTTTTTATGAAATAACAATCAAGAGTATGTGGTAGTTTAGAAAAAAGTCCTTACTTGGCAAAAATTAAAAGCTGGCAATCTTCCCCTAGATTTATTTTTGAGAATTACTGGTCTATGAATTCTCAAAGTCTGGGCACCAGTGGCTACAGCATGCTTGTTTCTCTGGGGTTGGCTTCCAGTGAGACGATGCTTTGAACCCTGTGTTTCATCTCCAAACACTAAACACAGCAGCCGGCTTGCCGGGCAGGGGAGGTGGGAGTGGGGTGGAGGCGTCCAGCTAAGAGGTTTATGGGCTTTGGGGTGGGGTTGTCGTCTTAGGGGTTTACTGGGGCTCACGCACGAGGAAAATGGGTAACTCTGCTAAACATCAGCTACAAAATGAAAATCTCATGTCCTCATTGCCCTGATTTTACTGAAGCAGAGAACACCTGGGCAGTCTGAAGTATGGATAAAGAGTGCCAGGGAATCAGAGCTCTTAAAAGTCACCTTAATTCCAACATGTATCTCCTAGACTCAGTCAGTGAGTTTAAAGAATAGAAGGCTGTTTGGGGTTGGGCTGGCTAATAATATAATAATATCTGCAATCATAAACGCAATCCTGTGGGTCTGCAAGGTAATGAGAGACCTTTAAAAAAGAATCACTTTGTTCCCATTCCATCCCTTACTTTGATCTCCTCTGTTAACATCTCCAATAAGTTACTGAATGCTTCCAAGGATGGGGAAATCACTATCTCGTTGGATTTGTTGGATATCCACTTTTTTTTCCAAATAAAGAGTGAAAAAACTTATTTACTAATTATTAGCATTTACTATTATTAGTATTTACTAGTATTATTTACTAATTAGAATTAGTAAATTATGATTTACTAATACTAAATTATTAGTATAAAGAGTGAAAAATTACGTTAGGATGGAACTGGCTTCCCTTCTGCTTCTCTCCATCGCTCGAACTTAATCTTTTCTGCACGTGAATCCTTCCACGATTAGCCTTGTAGGCACTGGAGCCCTCTCACCACCCTGGGGGGCCCACTCCCAGACAGATTCCCAATGTCTGTCTGGAGGCACTGTGCTGAGAATGGTACTTAATGTTGCGGGTTCCCATGTAATAGGAGCATGCTGTACAAACCACCCCAGATGGAGTCCTGGGTTCTTGGCCTACTGCTGAATCCAT